GGTGTGTTGCGGAAAGAGCGAGTGACGCAGCTTGTTAGTAAATGTGTCGGCTGTTATGGGGATCTAATGCAGAACGTATCCAATCATTTAGCTGGATTCGCTGCTATATGAAAAGAAGTCTGCTGATTTATGTTTTATTTGCTTTAAATAATTCACGTTTTAGTCTATTAATAATTGAAACTATCTCTCACAGTTACAAGGAACCTCATGGTGACGTCTTCGAATTGTATTTGATCTTTGAAAACCCAAGATAACCACTTCGCTTCCCATGTTTTCAGGATGAGCAACCTGAGCTTTTTAATCTATTAAGAATGTTTTTATGCTCTTTGAAGATTTTAATGATAGTGATTATTGAGAGAAAACCCATTTTGGCCAAGATAATGGTACTACAAACATATGCACAAGCTTGCCTGGGCACTGTTTAGCCAAACACAACTTAATAATGAGGGGGTGTGTTGGGCAGCAGAGTTCCCATATCCAGGGGGATCAAAGGGCCCGGCCCCCGGCAGAAAGGGCCCTGCAGCGGGCAATCTACTGCTGCCATAATTGGGGAAGAGCCATGTAAAGCTGTCCAGGGGAGACTGAAGAAGCCTTAATTATGATGCAAAATGTAATTAGCCTTCTGTTGAGTGTGTGTGCTTCTGTTCTTAACCGCCTGACCTTGATGTAATGGTGTGTTTGCTGGTGTTTATCATCCATTACAAGCAAACATGGCAGTAATGCTTCCATTCCCTCTGGTTAGGATGGTCTGCATATGAAATCATTGTACTGTCAGAACCAATTAGTGTGATATCGACCAATACCAGCTCACATTTTAAATCATTTAGTGGAAAGTCGTTCCGGTGCGTTTGTGTTTTACTGGGCTTCTGAAGCATCTCCCGATTGCCTCTGCTCAATATAAAACAATAATAAACGTCACACAGACAGACAGCGTTTTGTATGACAGGTGGTTTCCTTGTTGTTGCAGAGGTTGTTGAGCACGCAGCAGGAATAAATGCTTGACCTCAATTTTGCTGCATTCTCCATCCATGAGGCAGATCGGAGCGTCCTGTAGCATTTAACTCCAATAATCCCAACAAAGAAACATCCTCCTTCTATTTCATCACACGGTGGTTACAGATACTCTGTGAAAAAGGGATGGTAAATAACTGCTGTAATAACAGGGAAGGTGTTGTGGAATAATAGGGTTTTATCACTTATTGGACATGTAGTGCTTGTGGACATATGCATTGGGATTTTGTATCCATGCAGGCATAATGTACTTTCATGTATGCATTCAGAATGTCCTCAAAGTAAAATTAAGTAAACATTTCTTACCAAGAGTTCAAATTGTTTCCTTTTACTGAAAAAAATAAATAAAAAATAGCAGTTAATCTGATGGTAAATCACACTTTTAAGGTTTAAATGCGGTTTAAAGAATTGCCAAACATGTAATCAAGTGACTGAAAGTATCAGACAGTCTATTATCCTTTTTTAAATAAATGTGTCAACAACAAGGTACCATATTCACAAATAAGAGCACATTATCAGTGTGCGAAAAAGCACACGTCCCACCGTCCGGGACGTGTTATTTACGATATCGGACAAGTAGATCTTTCAATTGACTTGTCCGGCGGACAAGTGACGTTTTTCGCCCTCATTTATTGACAAATGATTGATACATTCAGTTTACAAAAGGCAGAAGTCATTCGCAAATTGTCCGTGTCCGCCATTGTTCGTTTAGAAATGTTAGTTTCGGTTCTGCTTGTCGATTCCTAAGGAAATGCATCTCGCCGCTTTCTGTACTGTTAGACCGGGGCGGGGCGGGACCATGGATGTATAATAAGAACGACGTGTAGCACAGTGGCAGGGTTGGGAAGCAAAACTCGGTTCCGAGTAAGAACAAATAACAATTGTCCAGTACCGGGATTAATAAGAGTTGTGAGCACAGGAGGCGAGGCCGAGCCCCGCGGACTGCAGCTCTCTCTCTCTCTCTATGCTCCGGATCATCTGATCGCTGCACGGTGCAGCTCAGCGTCTCTCTTTCTCTCTTTCTACACACAGCGGATCCGCTGCCCGTTTAACAGCCTCATCTTTGTCAAACTTTCATATGTTCTTTCTCTAACACGTAATTGAAGGTTATTAATCGTTTTAACTCCTATGTTGTTAATATTGACCGCCATTTCCTTTATGAAGTGAAGCAGCCTCCCTGTCTGTGTCCTCGCGCTGTCCTCACATCCCCGGACCCCCAGACTCGGAGGAGCACAGGGATGTCAGTATTGTTTATGAAGCAGGGTATAGAAAGTACATTATTGAAATGAAAATACTATTTATTTACTTTTACAAACAGTGAGCAGCTGGGCAGCTGCAGCATGTGTATAGCAGGACATGTGTAAGCGTGCAAGCGTCTTTGAGTTGTAGAAAAGCGCTAGGCCTATAGGCTATAAATATAATGTATTATTATTATTAGGCCTATTTGTTGGAGATGTGTGGTTGGACTCTGTCTCACAGGCAGGTTGCAGTGTAACATCAGAGGAGACTGGGCCAATTGTACATTCTCAAACTGCACCACTTAGAACTAACTAAACCAGTGGTTCTCAAACTTGGAGAAAAAAAAAAAGTCGGGCCCCCCCAACACAAGTCAGGCTCAGTGGCGGCGCCAGATATTTATTTTGGGGTGCTGTGGGGTAGCTTGACGTTTCATAGAGGGTGCTCAAACATTTAGGGTTTCCCATTAATGTACCGGGCGCTACAGTGGAATTTTCTACTGCAACACTCCCCACGCAAATACACAGTGTAACAGTTACAATGAAGGCTCGAGGCATATAGGTGTAAGCAGGGGTAAAGTGCTATTTTTATAGGTGGTGTGTGTGGACCTCACATAGGGGGGTCCGGGGGCAAGCTCCCCCGGGAAGATTTATTTTTAAATATTGAAGTTAAAAGCATCAATCTGGTGCACTTTGAGATCTATAGATATATCTCTCAACACCCAGATGAAACAGAACTGTAAACAGATTTACTATTTCTTTATGGATATTTTACAAATCACCCTTTTAAACTTGAGCAGTAAACTTATAATTGTTTACATTAATGGTGACCAAAACGTTTGAGACCCACTGAGATAACACAGAGTCCTTTAGCTCACTGAGTCTCTCTGTATGACAGGAGAGGACTCTCCTCCACTTTGTTGTTGAAAAAACTCCTTATATCCGTTAGCGTAGTTCGCTAGCACCGGAAGCTAACAACAACGATCTCCGGTACCGGTGCGTTCTCTCTCTCTCTCTCTCTCTCTCTCTCTCTCTCTCTCTCGCTCACGCACACACACACAGTGCCAAGCTTTAATGAAACACAGAGACCCAGACGTAATAGTACTGTACTGCATCATATTATTTTCGAATCAATAATTTTTCAATTTATGATTTTTTTTTAAATTGTAATAGCCATTTTTCCTCCTGGTCTCTCGCGCCCGCCCTGGCATGCCTCTGCGCCCCCCACTTTGAGAACCACTGAACTAAACAATGCAGAGATTATTTTTATATAATTTTATTCAATAACCGTAAGAAATTCAACAGTATGAAGTGATTTGTAAATAGGAATACAGATTTGACTTAATGTTTTCATAAATATATTTTTCTCCCAGTTTGTCATGGGACTTATTTTTACCCTCTCAAAGAACCGGAATCGAGAACCGAAAATAACCGGAATCGAAAAGCATAACCGGAATCGTTAAAATCCAAACGATACCCAACCCTATGTGTGATGCAGTAAAATCTTACCGCTCACTTACGTTAGCGGTGTCGTAAAAAACGTGAGAAAATGTAAAATACGATGGCGAAGAAGAAGATTCCATTGACCCCAATTTTTGTCCATTCTGGACAAGTGAAAAATGTATTCGGACAAGTAAATTGCCAAACTCACTTGTCCATGGACAAGTACTCTCTAAAAACTTTTTCTCACACTGATTATATCTGCTGATTGCAAATTATTCCGTTGTTATTAACATATAATAATATCATCGTAAAATATATTCATTGAAAAAGGCAATAAAAACAGCAAAAAAGCTCAAACTTAGAACAACAGTAACAAATGCTTACAGGTGAGGTTATGAGAAGAAAACAGTATTTGAATACAAATGAAAGATTATTATAAGACTGGTTGAAAAAGAAAAGCAATGGCTTTAAAATCTATATGCAATTGTAAAAATATATAGTTAAAAGCTCATTTAAAATGTCACATGTCTTCCTTGAATGAAATGTACTGTGTTCAGCTTTCAGGGCACAAATCATGATGTGTTTGAATGTGTTGTAACTTCAGATGTAGCAATACGGGCACATGCTGAGTCGTTCTTTATGTGGATGATGTTTATGATGATGAATTTTCCTTGTGCGTGAAGCAGTTTTTAGCGAGCGGTAAATCAGTTCAAGGGTCAACCTAGAATGGCTTTGTCTTAAATAGCGTTGCAGGATTTTCTCTAAATATAGATATGAATCTTCGCTAAATGAGTTACCACCAGTGTTATGATCTATGGCGTCTTTGGAAGTGGTTTTCTATTTATATTGGTCATTATTTCAACTCCCATGTGCTTTGGGTGCTGAACTCGGAACATTAATCTCTAAAAAATTGCAATAAAGTGAGACGGATAACTCACAGTAACAATAGGTCACTGACTGTGTTTACTTTTCTAGCATTAATATGTTTCATTATGAATAATTATCCTAATACATATCCTAAACAATTAGAGACCCTGCTTATTTATTTAGCTTTGAGCACAAAGGCTTTGCTCCAGCAATTAGAATTGAAATAATAAAAATGCCATATTCAGGTCAAACACTGTTTCTTAGCTTTATTGAATATGAATGGTTTGAATTACTGAGCAAATATTGCGTTAATGCTCTAAATTCTTCAAGTTTGCTGTAGCATTAAATCCCCATTATCCTTGACGTCCTTTGATATTAATGTCTTCAATATGTTCTTCAAGGATCAATAGATTTTTAAAAGCTTCCTCTCCTTTTTTTTCTCAGGCGTTGGACCAGGATCGAACATCTCTGCAGAAGGTGAAGAAATCAGTGAAGGCCATCTACAATTCAGGACAAGGTGAGGCTGTCTGCTAAATATACCAGGCCTTAGCATGCTTTAGCTGATGGTTGGTTACGTACTCATAACCCTTTCCAAAGAAAACCCCCAGAGGAGAGCCCAGGATCTCTTAAATGTCTTCAATACAAATGCTTTTTTCGTTGTTGTCCGGGACATTGCCTTTTGTGGAACAGATGGCGTTCTGTGTTTTCAGGCTGTCCCAGAATCCGACACCTGAGTTTTGTTTTGCTCGTTGCTGTGGCACGGATCCTCAGTAATTTTCCACAGAATACTTTTGAGAGCAGTCTCCACCCTTTAAATTGACAGTTTCAGATGCGTGTCTCCCAAATAAAGTGTGGTTGTCCTCCAGAGAAAAGACAGCCTACCTTACTGCCTGTGACTCTTTGTATGAGAAACTCTAAAAGCCTCATAACAACTGGAACAACTCTTAAGTCAAATGTCTTAGTTCAAGCCACTTGCTTCAATAGTTAGTGGCTTTGGCTAAATGTAGTGGTATTGAGCAAAAAAAAACTGTATATGATCTCAAAATGGAAATAAGAATGGGATGTGTTTGCCACCTGCAAATGTAAGAAATGGTTAGAATCTGAGAAAAACACAATCGTCCAAAAACAACATTTTGTAATCTTTAAAATATCAGTTATGGTTTATATGGAGACACAACAACCACTTATATGTGAAATAGAACTTAATATGATTTATTTCTATTACAAATATATATAAATAAAGGCACGTGGAATGTGTGGGCAAGTATATGCTAACACCATCTACCAAAGCTAGCTAGCATAGCCACCACAGCTAATAAAAAAACTATAAAGAGAGCCAATTGCTGATAGTAAACACATTAAATGGCTGTATCAGACCATAAATAGTGTCAAAGATTTGGTTTTATTCCAGGAATAACATTCACACACACAAATACTGAATCCTTACATATACATTCAGTATTTTCTTGGCCCATACATGCCAAACAAACTAGGTTTTTGAATTCCAGTATGCCAAAAGATCAAAATGGCTGCTGCAGGAAGGAGCTCTGCAGGGTGTTAGTCTCACCTGACCTCCCTCTCAGGACTCTTCCTCAGACTTGGCAACAGCGTGAACATCACTCCCCCTGCAGCCCCTCCCCATCCATCACAAGGACAGATGATGCTGCTGTTTGACTGATGCCTCCAGCTGCCTCTCACAGAAAACCACACATCTCGTTATGCTGACATTTCCTGCGTATCAGCACGACTAAATATAGTCAACTTTTATAAAACGCAGTCTCTGTGGAGCAGCACTGATCAGAAATTCCTGGTGAAGGTCACGTGTTATTGTATTACTTAAGTTGGTGCACTGATGAAGGACCTTTCCATTGGAAGGATGTGTTGAATATTTCTGCCATTATTATGAACATCACAAGTAGATGTTAGAAGATTTATAAGCTTTGTTCCTCCAGGTGTTTTCCTGTGTTGCTTTTTTCGAACAAAGAATGGCATTTCACTGATTTCCTTTTTTGTTCTTAGCCCTTTTTCTTCAATTGTCTTTAACTTATATTCTTGTTGTAAAATATATCAAACCGTTTGGATATTCTTTGAAGAGCTGTGACCCACGGAGTGAACTTCACCAGCAAACTATCTGTATTTGCATACATTAAAATGTAAAACAGACACTATGTGATAAGAAAACCTGCCATCTTTTTGTACTTGACAGTTTTTAATATTCAGATCTGCGGACACATTTCGGTTGGTAATACAAAGTGCTGAGGTTTGACACCCAGCCAATCATTACCTTTGTGACCGTTGCACCTGCAGCTAACCACCATCAAGACATGCAAATGCTATTGTCCACTTCCTTCCCTGTGCACATGCTAACCATGCTAATCATCAGCCAGAGTTCAGGGCAGTTAACTGCCCAGTGGTTGAACCTTCTCCTCTGTTTCCCACACAGACCACGTCCAGAATGAAGAGAACTACACTCAGGCTCTGGATAAATTTGGCAGCAACTTCATTAGCCGGGAAAACCCCGACCTGGGTACGGCTTTTGTCAAGTTCTCCTCCCTCACCAAGGAGCTGTCTGCCCTGCTGAAGAACCTGGTGAGTCCAACGTAATGTCAGTCAAATGTTTCAGAGAGCTCTATGTGTGCTTCTCCTCACATGGATAGAAAGAAGAATACTTTCTGAAGAGAGTTTCTGTCTCTACTTCTAAGTGGTTTAGGATTTGGGGTTAAGATTAGGATTAGAGTAGAGATGAGGCTAGTAGTGGAGAAGGTCAAGAGGTTATTAATGCTGATTCCTCACAGAATAAAGGTTCATCAGTCTCCACACTCAAAACTGTAAAATGTGCCTACACAGTGAGTGCTGTCATCTCGTTTGGACGCTATAGCTGACTGCGGCTGTATCCACCCCCCAAGCTTTGTGTTTTGTCCCCCCAGTCGCAGCTCTTATCTTCCTGCCGTGGATTTCCCCTGACGTTTCTGTTGAATAATGTGTCCTGTTTGAATCCTCTGTGAGTGATTGTTGTTAGAAGAAGAGCCAGTCGCCGCTCTCTCCCTCTCTTCCTGTGTGGCTGACAGCGAGATTAGACTCCATGAATACACTCGGCAGCACCAGGAACAACTGTGTGTGTCCTTAAACGTTCCTAAATCATCCACCAGTTGGCGCTACTTTCATACCTGCAAAGTTAAATGATTCCTACTCGTAGTTTTCCCCTAGTTTCTATTTTGAGTGTTTTATTGAGTGACTTTTTTACACTTCAATATCTACGCCCCTAAGGCTGCTGGTATGTGCGAACACTGCAAATGAGAATTGATGAATTGTGCTTGTCCTAGATGTTCTACATGTGTTATCGGCTTAAATGTAAGGATTTTATAGATGCATTTGGCCTTGTTGTTGCCGGCTTTATCAATGGAAATTCCCCCCTTTTTTTGATAATGCTGCACTAAAAGACCCGCTTCCAGGATGCACGCCGGCAGCCGGCCAGTAGAGGATTGATCCTGACGTTGGACATATGCAAGACAGGCACTTAAGAAGCACATTAGCGCCCATTAGGGGTTGTTTACTTCCTTGACCGTGTGTCTGTGTGGACTTGGCTAACAACAACAGGGACTTAAATGCTTCGTACTGTTGTAAATGACCTTCCTGATCCTAATGGTTAGATTGTTGGCAACAAGTTCATTCTTCAATAGACTAACTTGCACTTTTTCTATTATGTTGCTGATGACTTCAGTCAGCCGTATGCAGAATGTGTCGATGATGCATTGTGGGTTAAAGGATAAGGCCAGCTTGAGTTTTCTCCTCAAAAGACAACAATTTGAACAATCCTCCTTTCTGTACTTAACAACTGCCATTCCCTGTCTACGTTACTCAGCCCATAAAGATGTAATCCTCTAAAGCTGCACTAATCAATATTTTATATTACCAACGGGTCAAATGACATGTCACCCACAGGGCCGTATCCAGGATTTCCTATATACCGAGGTCCAAACATGCTAGGGGGATTCGGGGGATACCCCCCGAGATTTTTGGGATTTTCATGATCTAGTTAGGTGCTTTTTAAGTCCTGTGGGGGGTCACACATTGGATAATATATTGATTTCAAACCATGTCAGTGGGCTGACAATGTCAGCATCAATTATTTTTAAAGTGTAATACATAAGAATCAGTTGATTGTTACTATTAATGATCTGGACATGCAGAAGAGGCTAAAATGATCACAACACATTGTCAACATTCATTTGCCATGTCTCTCTCCTTTCCATAACCTGCAGCCTCTCTTCCATCTTCTTGAGTCTCTCTGTCTTCTTCCTGTTCATTACTCTCTCTGTCCTCTACTCTTTCTTTTTGTTCAATCTCTCCCTTGTTGTTCAGTTTTTGCTCCTCCTCACTTGTCGCTCCTGCCAGCGAATTAAAAGCAATTCAGCTATTTAGTTAATTTCACTTGTTTGTTTGCATTCTTTTTTTATTTAAATCTGTTTTGTTTGATTCTCAAAAGAGAACAAAGATGTAAGCAAATTGTGTTTTATACAATTGTATGTTATTATGACATCATAACTGCAATAGATGTATGTTTTAAAATTATGCCTATTGTAAATGAAGACTATTGTTATAGATAGATAAATAGATAGATAAATAGATGGGCTTATTAAGCCTACATTATTTTGTGTGACTCCAGTTCCTCTCTGACTTCCATCACTTTCTCTCTCTCTCTTTCTCTCTGCCTGTCCTGTCTCTCTCTTACCAAAGCTGAGCTTCGACTGACGTAGTCTTTTCATTATATCTGAGTCAGTGTAAAAAGAAAACAATACAATGTTATATCTTCAATGTTTTACTCAAATTGAAATGAAGAAAAGCATTACAACGTTCGTTAAAAGGTAATCCTTCTGACATTGGATGAACGTAATTAACTGTAGCTCTCTAGCTAGTTTATTCACGCAATTTAAACCAAAGTATAGCCTATAGCTGCAATATAAGTTAGTGTGCATGTTGTCGGACGTCCACTGACTAACGTAGAGCGTTCACACAGGATCTGCTGGTCATATGATGTCCTGATGAACAGAAACACAAGCAGCCCGCTGGACTCAGATCTCTAGATACCTCATCACTCCTCCGCTGCTCCGATACAAGTCCGGGCTGCGGAGGTTTGTTGATACATGTCGTCTTCTTCTGTTTGCTTTAATCGAGGCTACGTAGTTATGCAGCGCCCCCATGGTCAGTAAATGGAAGTACTACAAAGAACCCCGTTTAGTGCAATTATTTCACAAGTTTTGTTATACACAGCTCGGAAAATATTATCGAGGTCCGGACCTCGGTGACCTCAATGGTAGATACGGCCATGGTCACCCAGTGTAACCATCTGGATCATTGATGTTTTTTTTATAAACAAAACAATGGATCTCTGGAGTGATGAATTATATTGAGCTACACAGACAATACTTGTTTGTGAGAAGAGTCCAGCCTGTGTGATGTTATCTGTGATTGATTGTAGCAACAGCTACATTCTAACTGTAATTATAAATGTGTGTGTTCTCACAGCTCCAGAGCCTCAGCCACAATGTCATCTTCACTCTGGACTCGCTGTTGAAGGGCGATCTGAAAGGCGTGAAAGGGGTAAGGTTTACTGTAAAACATTTTCTCTTCCTGACATTTTTTTCTTCCCTCCCCGCCCCTCTCACGGCAAGACAGGGAAAAAAATAAACGCCTCGTCAGCACATCTCTCTTTTAACCACTGTAAGTTGAGTATAAGTGAGAAGAGGCCATGGACACGGGGGAGAGCGCTCTGTTTAAAAGCTCCCACTGTAAATCTCCCAGAGAGTAAACACTGTCTTTGAGTTTTGCTTGAGGCGGGTGTCGAGTAACTGGGTCATGAACCGTTGTTGTTTGGGGTACAAGGAGGGGTGCGGTCGCTCGCCAGACGTCCAGAGCATAAATCGTGAGCGGAGGGAGGCATTTGATGGAATTCTGGTTGTGATCCAACTCTGCGAATAACTCTGTCCCCACGGTGACCTCTCTGTTTGCTGACGCTTGTCCTCCTTTGTTCCCGCAGGACATTAAGAAGCCCTTCGACAAGGCATGGAAAGACTACGAGGCCAAGTTGTAAGTGGATAATTAAAGTTGCACTTTTGCTCATTAAAGACTGCTGAATAATGAATCAAACAGGGTTTCTAATGTGCAGCAGTATTGTTTGCGTCCGCCAGAAGATATTGCATACACAAACTTACACTGATGATATAAAAATATACAAGAATAGTCATTATCCTCTCCTGTGTGACAGTACAAAGATCGAGAAGGAGAAGAGAGAGCATGCCAAGCAACATGGCATGATCCGCACTGAGATCACCGGGGCTGAGATCGCCGAGGAGATGGAGAAGGAGCGGCGTCTCTTCCAGCTGCAGATGTGCGAGGTAGGTTGTGAAATGAAGCTACGCTAAAATACATTTCTGGTCGGCATCAAACATCAGAGGAACCCAGCCGTTAGCCAGGGCCACATTACAGGTTAAATCCCCACAGCACAGCATCCTCCAAATATCCTCTTTTATGATGCTGTCTCTTTGTAAATCACAAATTCACCTTCACAATGATGTTCTTTTAGCTTGTAGGAAGAAACATACTGTGTCGAACAACACAGCCTCTTCATTTATTTAAATGGGGGGAAAAACACAGCGTTGTCTGGCAAGAGAGTTTAATCTTGCTCAACATTTGCAGCAATATAGTGTAATATCATTTGACGTTGCCCTGACAATATTGTAACACCTTATATGCAAGCGTTTCATACTATTATTTTTGTATTTGTATGCATTATTTGGACTGAATAGGGACATTATATAACCGTTTTATCATGGCTCTTGACACCCAAATCCAACCGTGGTTCGTCCTACTTTGAAGCAACTTCAACCCACCAACGCAGTGCTATTTTTGGTTTCAGCACCCACTTATTCAAATCATATATGTATATGTATGTAAAGTCTTCGGTACCAGCTGCGTTTAAAGGGAATTTTAAGCTCCAGTTGACTTTTTTTCTCTCAAGATAATTTGAATAATTTAGAGAATATCTTTTAAATTCCTGCAGCTCCACATGTAGGGATTACAGCAGCCCCAAAAGATACATTAATGAATGAACAACGTACGACTGAATATAACATTAAACATCTCATGGCCAGTGATGAGTTGATATTTGAGCAGCTAATAATAAAAAGTAAAACTGTTATTAATTTAAGTGTTTTCAGATGTTCTTCAAGTTCAGTGGACTTGTTTGCTTCTCAGCGTGTTGTGACACAGTTTGAGTTATCTTCCATTTTATTATTAAGTGTAAAACAAATGTGAGTTCTTTATGTGCTCAAGAGACTCAGAACAAACTGTTAGATCTCACTTTCCTTTGCCAAAAATCCTCTCTACTCGTGGGTGGTGACGCCTACGCCTTGTTCACTGTTTTATCCTGTTAGGATGTTTGACTCAAATTACATAATGGGCCGATGCCGGTGCACTGCTGCTGGTTGTGTGAATTATTCACGACAGAACTTGCTGCAGTCCTTTTGTGGCCTCCCATGCTGAGCTGCCCTCCTCGAACAGTGACTCATAGGTGTTCCTTTTCCTCATATTTCTCACCTGTGTTCACACTTTTTAGTCTGCCGCAGAACAGGTCTTTAAGGATCACAGGTCAGGTTTATCTGAATGTTTTCGAGAAAGCGGTAAAAATCAAACAAGTGAAACGGATAAGAAAACAACAGAAGAAAAGATAACTCCAGCCATGCTAACAGAGCTAAGTGCTAACATTAGCATGCTCACACTGCCAATGCTAACATGCTAATGTTTAGCAGATATAATGTTTTCACTAGCCTGGTTAATTATTAGCACAAAGTAAAGCTGTAGTTTACTGATATTTCATTAGTATTGCAGTATATGTTTATCTAAACACTAAAGAGCCACATCAGTAGCGGCGGGCGTGTCTGAAGCTCGACCAACAACCAATCACATGAATCTCCTGCCCCTGACACACAAGCAGTGGTTTGATTGGCTAGAGCTTGTACTGGCATATGATTTGATTGGCTGACGCTTCCACCGAAAGCTTCAGAAGATTCAAAAGTTGAACATTGCTCTACTTTTGAATCCTGAGATGCCTGGAAATCTCCGCTTTGCTTCCCACAATGCAGTTCGGCGAAAAGTGAGGCAAAGTGACGTCACCCCATTCTGGGCAGAAGCGTTGGAAGATTTTTTTAACGCTGCTGTGTGGACGTACCCAACGGCCCAGTAAGAATCCTGGCATCAAATAAGAAACCCTAACATTTGCATCCCTTCTCGTGATGCCAATTGCAAGCTCTCTTGGTTGTCGTGGTCAAACACAACTGTATTTCTTCTATTTGGTAGATATAGCTATGTGAATGATGAAGATGTAAATATGCTATAGATTCACTAAGGTGCTGCGGGCTGAAACTCAACCCCTGTTAATCAAGGCTATACATTTGTTAAAAAACAGATAGACACATACGTTTTTAGAAGCATGTTTTTATATGATTTTTGGATGTTGGACCACCTGAATCTGAATATGCGTATCATGTTCAAACTACATTAACGCTAGCATGCAGCTGTTCACCCCGCACAGTATCTTTGCTGTATATCTGTCCCCCTTTGACTCTCTGTCTCTTTATGATTTTAGAACATTTGTTCAACAGTCAGTGTATTGTACATTTGTGTAGCCCGCCTCCAGTTGATGTTGGATGCCAGGGTTGTAGCTCCCACGTTGTATTAGCCCTGGCTTCCTCTTTCATTGGCTGCCTCATGTCCATATTTGATTTAAAATGTCTAATGATCAGCAGATCTTTTCATGTCTGTGCACGTCTGATTTGTTGTCCTCACAAGACTGCACGAGTCCCGTGAACAGTGCATGTTGGTTGTTCCGGGCTGAAAGCAGCAGACAAAAGGCCTTTGTGGTTTTGGCCACTAGATTCTTTCACACACACATACGGGTATTGGGCCGAGCGCGACACCGTACTTCCGGTATCCGCCGTTTTATGCGAGGTGCAAGCAGGCCAAGGGTTTAGCCGTACACCGTCTAGGTGTTGCTAAGCTTCCTGTACTGAATATCATAGTCTATTGCCTTAATCAATATCTAGTCAACTCTAAAATACCACATATATGCAATGGCATGATAATATTATTGTGACAAGTGGGGTATTCACCTGGTGTTTCCAGAAATTAGACGTAGATGCATACATCTGTAGGCAGTCTGTAAGGGCAATCCGACAACCCACACAGCTCTAGTTTACGCTGGTAACGACCTAGAGCACACCCCTCAAGTCCAGAGATGTAATCCGAAGACATGCAGCGATTTCTTCGGTCGTTAATTCAGAAAAAAAAAACCTAGCTAGTTAGTTGTTTATATTTGCACCTCCATGAAAATGGCGTATTTATATATATATATGGCGCGTGTTGCATTGTGGGTAGCTCGTGACGTCACTGTGTGTGAAAGAATACTGAACCAGCCTCTCTATAAATGGTAGTTAGTGGACTTTGCGGTTTAAAAAATCCGTAAATGGCTCTTTTATGCGAGCAGAATTGAATAATTTCTATATATGATGTGTTTCAAGCCAAGTACAGTTCAGTGTTTAGGTTAAACACATTGAAAGCCAGATATCCCATCAGCTGCTGCTGTATTTAAAGAATCATTGCTATTGAGCCTCTGATCTGACCAACCTCTTATATAGCGGTTTGTTATTGTGCCATATGATATAATGTAATAAAGGAAATAACCATCAGAATGATTTCGCCATAGCTATCTTGTTATTCTTTAATATATTTTGTTACATTTGGAATTATATAGCCATTCATACGTACTTAAACAAAATGTTTTGGCATTTGATGTGAGAAGGTTTTTATTAGTCAAGGATTTTATTGAATGCGTTTGCTAAACACCCTCATCATATCTGCTTACTTTAACCATTAGCATATACTTTATTGATTTTCTAGATAATGTACTTTATTTTGCTAAGGTATACGAGCTGAAGCAGTTACTTCAATAACTTCAATAACTTCAATTTACCATTTGAGTCTTTGTATTCAAAATGTGAAGTCCCAGTTTTCCATATATGTTGCTCAGTCAAAATCATTTATGTCAGTAAATTGCAGATCCTTTGGCTCAAAGCAATTTTTTTGAAGACGATTCAAGAATTGTTAAAGCATTTCTCTATTCTCTTTTGACGTTACCATTATAGGAAATGATTGTCAGTGTCAACTTTGATACCGGAATGTAAAAATGGAATGCTGATAAAGAAGACTTCATCAAATTGCACATTAAATACCTACTTCATAGGTGAAAAATCTGACCTAGTTATGTGTTACGTCATCCACAGAGTTATGTGATTTATCTGTAAACCAATAAAAAGAGGAGACGGAATAATCAAGACATTTCCTAAATCAACAGTCATCAGAAAATAACTCCAAGCGTAGCTGCTGTGTGAGGGTGAGTTGCTGCAGTCAGTGGTACAATCTGTTCATCCCACTTAACCTCATTTCTCTGTGTGTGCGTGCACTCTCACGCTCTCTCCCTCTCTATGTTACTCAATCACCAGATTACTGGATGCTCTCACACTCTCGCCCTTTTCATCCCTGCTGATGGGGAAGGAGTGCGGAAAGGCAGGGCTCAGCGCGCTGCATTATGTCCTGCTCAGACACGGCGATGCTGCTCGTTCGCACAAAAGAGTCCGAACACGCACATTGCGGCAGCGCTCTCCGAAAACACTGAAGCCGCAGACAAAATGTGGATAATCTCCCATCCAACGGGCGCTGTCAGCCAGACAAAGGGACAGCACATGCATGCATACACACGTATACGCACATACACATGCACTCATGCGTACACATGCATCCTCGCACGTGATGTGAGGAGCAAATTGAAACAGTATGTTGGAAGCTTTTGTGTGGATGATAACATCTCGCTGTGAAGCTAAAAGTGATCTGACTCTGTAAAAAATCTCCATGCTGTAGGATAAACTCAGATTATTATATATTTGTTTGTTTGTGGGAGCCTTGTCTGAAGATTTGTTGTGAATGTTCAGACACTCAGACTGAGCATGCCGTCTACAAAGCACTTCCTCTGGAGGCTTTTCTCTCTTTTTATGATGCATCCTTTTTGAATATTTTTTTAGATCAAGGCAGACTGTTCGGTATTTTCCTGTACTGAAAGTGTGTTCTACACTTAAGTCCCCACTCCCGGTGTCAAGGCAGTCATGGCTCGTACATCAAAGCTTTCTCAAAGCACTCAGACGCGATTATCATAATGCAAAGTGTTCATACTCTTCAGTGTCTATGGCAATGCAGAAACATCTTTATTCTCTGTGTAACAGCTCTGCCTCATTAAACCCAAGAAAAAATCATTTCAACCCACCCTGGATTTCAACTCCTGACTGAACTCTGCACTTCTCTTTTCCTTTGCAGTACCTGATCAAAGTCAATGAGATCAAGACCAAGAAAGGAGTGGATCTCCTCCAGAACCTGATTAAGTATTACCACGCTCAGTGCAAGTAAGTACCACCTTAATCCCCCTGAACCCGAATCTGTGAGTCTCCCCTGTTGTGTGCATCACACCCACTTAGAAATGTGTCAGAGAAAAAGGTTGTGTCTCTCTCCGTCTTTGCCGCTCTTGATGTCAATTTTCTTTTCTCCTGTATGATTCACAGACCTTGAGGGTGCACACGTGGGTATATATAGCTCTCATAAATATGCACAGGTCATCATCCAGATACGTTCTGACAGCTGTGGGGTTTGGTGGGTAAATAAGTGGGCGCTCTCCGTGCCAGAACCGCAGCTCACGACGGCTTTTGACAGAATGACAAATCTTCTCGCGCAGTTGCTAGGTTCTGTCATAACACCAGGACAAAACAATATACTTCCCAATGTAATCTGTTCAACCTGGGCCTTGATCGATTGAAAAAAGGAGCAGCGGTGACGGATTAGCGGCAAAAAAAGCAATCGATGTGAACCTCAGGGAGGAGAGACTGCTCACAGCCAGAAAACTGTTTGTGTTTATTTTTGGACATCAGATGCTCTTCATTTAACAAATTGAGGGCGGCAATTAACTGAAAATGGTATTGGCCCAAGAAAGCATGGACACTTTAAAAAAATACATTGGTTCTTCTCTAAATAACATCCCAACATTAGTACTATATGATGTCAAATTAGGTATGTAGTGAATTACGTAGGTTTTTGGATGCAAGAATTAAATTCTAATGACACAACAGCTTTCTAGATATGCTCAACTGCCTCATAATGAATAGTGCAATGGCGGTCTGTGAGGTTTAAATGAAAAGTGAGTGTTACGTTCCCTCCAAGTCTAGGGGTACCAAGGGGAGTAACAAAACACAAGGATGACCAAGCACGACAAAAAAGAGAGAAAACCGATCTCTGAAGTAACGAACAGGTCGTTTAATGAACAAGACAGGAACACGGGCTCACCAGCCAACTTGCACAGAATACTAAAGAATCGATATATCTAGGAGCACATCTCCTATCAATCGGCAAGACACAGTTTTGTACACATGCAGCCAGAGGAGGAAAAAGGAGGCCTCACTGCAGTCTACCTCCGGTCCTATATGGAGGCCCTGATTGGGAATTAGGAGCACCTGGGGAGAGGCTGCACCTGGGGACAATCAGGCTGCACCTGGGGAGTCAGAGGGAGAGAGAGAAAGACACACACACACCCACACAAACACTACGGCACGTAACAGTGAGCCATTGACTCCTCACCAGGATAATGAAATGAGATCATCATAAGCGCAGCAATAGAGGACCAGGAAGTTGCAAGGCAGTTAGCCGTACTGGCATTTCCAGTAGAGTACTTTCTCTGCTTATTAGAGAAAATGTTCCTCTTCTTAATGAACATTATTCTTATTAGGGTCCATATTTCCCAAACCTTTACAACAGTGGTGGTGGGTAGAATATTATCACGGCCAAAAGCTATACCTGAAGCATAAACACTTTTACTAAACATCCTTGTACTTGACGTGGGTGCTGGATGGAGTGGGAGGACACAAGTGGGATCCTCAGTGCTCAGATTAAAAGCAAACAAGCAGAGGAGAGATGAGACGGAGAAAGTAATGAGCGGAGGAAAGGAGCGGCGGGCAGGGGGATGGAGGGATGGAGGTCATTAGCTGTGATTTGTGGCTACAGCGCCGCATCGAGGTGTGTCGCGCCGACAGATCCGTGATGGATTTCAGGATGTGCTAAGCACCTCTGCAAATCTGCTGTGGACACGCACAGCCACCATTTCTGTGCCAAGACCCAAAGGCGAGAACAAGCCCAGCTATACATTAAACATAAACTGCACCAATCCCTCCCCCCCCCCTCTCTCTGTGTGACCTTCATAGTGGCCAAAAGTCTCAACACCTGACATTTGCAAAGTAGTAATTCCCATAAATGACCGACTCTCAAATGTATTCAGTGCATGTTAATGTCAGTGAGATTCACATTTACCTTTTGATTCTCCAGTTTCTTCCAAGATGGCTTGAAGACAGCGGATAAACTGAAGCAGTATATTGAGAAGCTGGCAGCTGATCTCTATAATGTAAATACTTTTGCACACTTGATTACTGTTTTCTTACAGGATTACATCTATAAAGTTGTCAAATATACTCAACTTAAGGTCCACTTATTAGCTAGTTCCTGAATGCCTCTCTTATTGAGCAGATTCATTTTTGCTTAAGCTAGAAAGTGTACTTGAAGTGGTTTTCTTTTTTGTGTGTCCAAGGTCAAAAAATGAAGTAGCATCTCTATAGATCCAATAAAGGTGTATGCATAATGACCCCTTATAGAAAATGACTAAATAAAAGAGTCTTGTTGATATGCTTTACAGTAGGTTTCAGGAAAGAAAAGGCTATCTTACACACATAATAAAACACGTTTGGAAAGGATGAGCCTACACTGACTGCTCTCCAACATTTCTTATACAAAGTCCTGCTGTGCTTTCTCCTGAAGCAGCCGTTTCAAAGCTCCTGCAGTTCTCACGAAAGGGGAAGTAGCACATCTGCAGCAACTGTCATGACTCACCTGGAAACTTCACATATACACAAAATAAAGCAAGAGAAGTTCATTTTGTAGCAGATCAATTCATTTCAGTCTTGGTATTTACACGAGGCACTTTTGTCAGCACAATAAACATCCCCCTGTAAATACAGCTAGTCATCTTTTTGTTCCGCTGTTCCTCAACTTGTTTCCTCAGATCAAACAAACTCAGGATGAGGAGAAGAAGCAGCTGACTGCCCTTCGTGACCTGATCAAGTCCTCCCTCCAGCTGGACCAGAAGGAGGTAGGCAGCTCACACACACACACACACACACACACACACACACACACACACACACACACACACACACACACACACACACACACACACCTGGCCAAATGTAAACTTGTTGTAGGTGGAAATCTTAACAAGGCCCACACCGAGACATATAAGGCTAATCACAGCAATGGGGTTCACTTAAACAGCCATATTGCTCCAGGTGCCACACGGATTTGTTGTTAGACACATTTTCCACCACCACGGTTTGGAGCTTGTCTCCTGCAGCACAGAGCGAGTGCCCAGTGCTGTACCATGCTGGTAGCCAGTGTGTGGTCGGCTTTGCTGGTGACCAGTGTTGTGCCTCACTGGCTGCTCAGTGGAGAGCCCCTCACTGCCCGACTTAACACATCATCATTAAAACCCTGCCAACCCCGGATTTACTCAGAAACATAACCTGCTGTGGTAGATTCACACATTCATTCTCTGCATGTTCACATTTAATGTTCACTTCCTGTAGCTTCTCTTGCTAATATCACCCACGGTAGGCACAACAGTAAAACATGCATATTGTGGATTTGATGGTACATGGGTGGGCGGCACACTTTTTCACACTCAACGCCTTACACCTGAGATGGATCTTTCACACCTCTCCCCTCTATCTCCCCCTTTCTGCCTTCTGCTTGTCTGGAATCAAGTCTAGAAGAGTAAGTTCTGGTGCATGTTGGGCATGCTGGCATTTGTCTGTTCAGTGGTTTGGCCTTTTAGAGGCTTCAGAGCATGCCTTATAGATGTCATTTTCTTGTTAGCCCTTTGGTTTGAGATTAGACCTTGTGTTTTGGTGTTTAAGTATAGTGTGTTTGTGTCTGTGCTGCATGTCTTTCAGCAGATACTCTGCATATAACTTGTGTTTAACGTTGTTATTTCTTGCGTGTTTGCACATTTTGTGTGGATTCGCACAGGACTCGCAGAGTAAGCAGGGTGGCTACAGCATGCACCAGCTGCAGGGGAACAAGGAGTTTGGCAGTGAGAAGAAAGGCTACCTGCTGAAGAAAAGTGATGGGTAAGCCGCTAATACAGACACTAATACATCAAGACAGTAAGAGGAAGTAGCATTTAAAACATTAGCTTGTAGACATTAGCATTCAAATGTAGAATTTCAAAACTTATCCACGCAGATAAGAAACACATGACAAGTCCTTTCCTAATGAGCCCCCCCTCCCTCTTTTTTTACAGACTGAGGAAGGTTTGGCAGAGGAGGCAGTGCTCAGTGAAGGGGGGCATGCTCACCATCTCTCATGCCACAGTGAGTACCACACACACACACACACACACACAATCACACACAAACACACTTTGCTGATCAAAGAGAGAACATCATGCGGGGAGGTAGTGTTGGGCTTTCTCAATCTGGAGGCTGGCAGTGTGGAATTGACATAGATGGGTTGTCATGGCAACCCCTCTGCCCCTCCCCCCTCTGCCTGCTGCGCCTGGGTGACTCATCTGAGAGCAGTGAGAGCGTACTGTATGCTGGCACGTCTGAGGGCTCGTCTCCGTGCAGCTGCAGTGGCTGCTTCGCTGCGAAACCCAAGAAACTGAAATCACACCCGAATGAACTCTGTAACACTTGCTGTGATTTAAAACCTCCCACTGTGTCTGAAATAAAGACTGAGGAGCTTAGCACAATCCCCAAGTTTAGCTAATTGTGGCAGTGGCAGATGTCTCATCAGGCAAAGACAGATCCAATTGTGGACTTAAAGAAAAAAACAGGAACTGTTTCATTGGTTTTGGAATTAACGAGGTATAGTGTGTGCATTTCGGCTGTGTTACCCTAACTGTCACTTTAAAGCTGTCATGTTTAAAATTAAAGAATCTGAAGAATTGTTTAAAAAACAATGAGAAATATTAAGGCATCAAGACAGATAAGAATCTCCCTGATGTCTCCAAACCAACAAGTTAAAGGGACCCTATTATGGTAATTTTTTTGGTGTGCCTCTTTTGTGAAATGTTTACGTGCTTTATTGTTTAAAAAGTGCTTTTTTTTCATACTGCCTGTGCTGCAGAACCTCTTTTCACCCTGTGTCTGAAACCAGAGCCCAGTCTGCTCTGATTGGTTAGCTGGCCGGCACGGTTGTGATTGGTCAACCGCTTAGAAATGGAGCTCTAGCCAATACAAGTCCAATGATTGCGTAGTGATGTCACTCTACCACAAGTCTCACTGCCTATCAACATCATTCAAACTAAAATGACTTGATGGACATCATTGGTGACCAAAAACACACAGAAAGCTTTTTATATTTGCTTTATCTTTGGAAAAAAGTGGTTTATATGAATAAATGCACACAAACAATAGACAAAATATTCAATTCATCCAAAATATGACATAATTCACCTCCATATCCTTGTTAAGGACTATTCAATAACCTTACCTATATGAAGGCCCTAAGGAAGATCCTCTGTGCTGTATTCAGATTCAGAACCTCCCTTGCTGTGTGTGAGCCTCTGCATTTTTCATTGGTCACTTTCTGTTTTAATAGTGTTAAGTTTGTGAGCATGATTTCAACTTTCCCACAGCCGCTGCCTCAACCATGATAACATCCTTTGTGTTCGCTGCAAGCTCTGGGGAAGTGGTTTGTCTCACATATGACATGAAAGGCTTCCTATTGTTCTGTTGTACAATCACTCGCGTTGTGTTACTCTTGGTAGATATACAAGATCTTATAACACATTTTCTTTCAGACTGGAGTCTCTTTAAGTTCTTATTTCTGGTGTCAGAACTTGTGGCAGCTGAACTCTATGTGACTCTTGTTGACATGGCGGTTGCCAGCAGGCCAGCCGAGCTCCACGGCTCATCACAGCCTGTTAGCATTTCATTAGCACGTGCTGCCTGTCACTGGCAGGGGACAATGCTCAGTATACATGTGCCAAGTGGGTCCATTATTACAGTACACAGCCCAGCCATGACGCTCCAGATTCTCAATGGCGTCCTGGGGTCAACCTGTTTCAGTGTGACACCATTTTGTAACTTGTTAATATGTAAATTACACAGCTATGGTGTTGATTAATAGATAAATGAAGAGAAGAAATGATAATTATATTGATAAATCATGTTAATCAGTTTTCTTGATTAGCCTCTTTTTTAAATAATTTTCATTGTATAGTGAAAATAATAAAAAAAATACCATCCATTTGGTGGTTGCAGCTTCTCATATAAGTATTTGTTGCTACTTTCTGTTTTAAATAATTGTACATTTCATATATTCAGAGTTTTTACCACTGGAAGGAATAATAAAGCAAATCGTCTTTGCCCTCTTTAAATTGAGATTTTCTGCCATTCTAAAAAATGGAACCTCACTAAGTTATTTTGTTTTGAAACCCCTGTGTGTGTAATATAGTAATAAGATGTGGTTTCATATTTCCTTTCTGCTTTGTGTGACCCTAAACCTGTCTTTGCTCCACAGTCCAACAGGCAGCCGGTCAAACTGAACCTCCTCACCTGCCAGGTCAAGCCGAGCACCGAGGACAGGAAGTGCTTTGATCTCATTTCTCGTAAGTTTTAAATGTGTTCCATGTTAGCTATATACATCAGTATGAGGCGTTTGTAGGATATCTGCCTTTTTAAATATCAAGCTAATCTATGGAGGAATAACTGACTACTTTTGAGGCTTGTCCAATAATTAGGACACAAGTGAATTTGAATAACTCTACGTTGTCAGTTGCTTCTCGTATTATAAAATGCAAGATAAGAAATGCTCTTACTTAACCTCATTGTTTCTTCATTCAACAGATAACCGGACATATCATTTCCAAGCTGAGGATGAACAAGAGTTTGTCATGTGAGTAATATTGCTCAAAGAAAAAAAAAATGTTCTTAAGGTTTTCAATTGTATCTGTCCCTAAGCTTCTAAATTAGTTGGTGTTGTGATCTCAAAGATAATAGTTTTTATTAATGGAGGGGTTGTTTAGCGGCTGCTCTCTTAAAGACAGGAAGTACAAGAGAGACTGTTGAGTGGGTGGCAGAGGCACAGCGAGGAGAGCAGTGGGATGTGTGGTCTGCAGTATTTCAGGTCTCTGTAACCTCATACTGCTGTTTCCCACGCAGACACACACGCAAACTTTTATGATGAAATTATTCCACAGCAACTTTGATTTACACATAGACTCTTTTTTTTTAAGAAACGCTAGCATAAAATATAATAAAAATATTGTACGTAAACAAAAAGTGTTTGTTCTGGTTGCCTCTTGAATTTAACCAACGTTATATAAAACAATTAGTGATACATATTTCTGATTTTTGCTGATGAAAAGGTGGTATGGTAGTTAGCTACCCACACAGCTAGCTTTGTTAGCAAAATAAGTAATCTAGTCAATTCTTAAATTCTTTAAAAATGTAAACCCTAGGCTTGCTCTGAAAATTAAAATAAATAAAGAAAATGTAAATCAGGGGGTGCACTTTTTCTAAATAAAATGTTAAGTAAGGGCAATGCTAAATGAAATATGTGGCTTATATTGAAATATTTTAGATTGATGGATGGTATTATGTTTGTTGATATACATAACATTTGTGGACATACAAAAAAGTAATTGAAACAGGAAAACACACTAAATTATTTAAAAAATGCAACTTATGGCGATCATACGGAACTCGACTAAAATCTGTTTTGAAGCTCTCTTTGAATTGTGGCACGGTGCCTTGCTGTGGTTAAACCCTGGACCTCCATGTACTTGTGTTCCTCTGGGATTCAGCTGCTCCTCACTGCTGCTTCCGTCACGCACTTCCAACTGCAGCAGCAGCACCTTCAGGGGATTTTCCATGAAATATTTAGTATTCCATAGGGCTGCTGCTTTGTGCAATCACGCTCCCCCCCAATTAGGCTGGGAGCATATTATAATGCATCATATAAGTAAACACAAACACTCTGGCGCAGCATCTGTACACCTACGCAGCTGTGGATTTAAATATCTTGTTTCTCACACATATAAACAGACAATCTAACACTTCGGTTTATGTGCCCACTCGCTGTCTGGCCTTTGAAGAAAGGGCTGAGTGACAATGACAGAGGAAGTGCTGATGTGAAGCTCATGTAGTCCTGTGTGTGTGTGTGTGTGTGTGTGTGTGTGTGTGTGTGTGTGTGTGTGTGTGTGTGTGTGTGTGTGTGTGTGTGTGTGTGTGTGTGTGTGTGTGTGTGTGTGTGTGTGTGTGTGTGTGTGTGTGTGTGTGTGTGTGTGTGTGTGTGTGTGTGTGTGTGTGGGCCAGTTCAGTGGGGATGCTGCAGAAGCAGATTGTGTGTTGTACAGAGCTGCAGTAAGCCGTGTTTGAAAGGCAGCTACATCAGTTCCTATGTTTGTGATTCTCTTTAACAGTGTGTATGATTATAGGTGCATGTGTATGTTCAACCTTTGAAGTGAGTAGATCTGTGAACTCAAGAAAAAAAAAAAATGACAATTTAAACTGAAAAATAAATGTATTCATGTAATTGTAATAATGTCACATCTTAAATGCAGTTTCGGTCTATGAATCTATCATATTGGGGAAATTACTTGTCCTTTGGATTTGATTTATGTCCTATAAGTGATAACGTGTTAGCTTTCATAACCTCAATTTCGATTTTCTATGATTCATTTCTTTTCTAGAAAATAAATTATAAGCCAATTGTCAGGAATGAAATTGGCTAATAATCATATACCTATTCATTTTGAGGTAATCTTAAAAAAAGTAAAATATATCCCAAATGTTCCAGTTTAATGTCATGTTATCACAATGTATTTAGGTGTTGGCCAGCTGGTCCGACAAAACAACACATTTTAGGGGATTCTAGAGTTTTACGATATTGTGATCGCCATTTGTCATAATTCTGCCATTTTATAGACCAAACGATGAAGTGAATTGCTTAAATAATCCTCTGATTACTTTATATCTGGTGGTGTTTTATGTTTGCGTGAAATAACTAAGCCTAAACAATGTGTTCCCCTGTGCAGCTGGATCTCGGTGCTGACCAACAGTAAGGAGGAGGCCTTGAACATGGCGTTTCGTGGCGAGCAGAGCAGCGGCGGCGAGGACGGTTTGGAGGATCTGACTAAAGCCATCATAGAGGACGTGCTGCGCATGCCGGGCAACGAAGTGTGCTGCGACTGCGGAGCTGCAGGTGTGTACGGAGGCAGAGAGGATTCACACACACACCCTGCTTTGTGCTTAGTCATCCCTATCCCTGTTACATGAGAAGCGCCTTCACCTCAGCATTTTTTTTGTTTCAATGTGTGCAAATGTTTTTTTATTTAAAGCCTTGGTTTATTTTGCAATGTCACGGCTGCCATGAACTCAGTGTCCTTCAGTTGGATGGAAACTGAACAAGCTACAAATCCCCCTGCAGCCTTTAGCAAAGTGTGCGTGCACGAGCGTTGTTAGCATTCAGGACACAACCTGATCCTCATCCTCCCCCACATTAGGAAGCAAAGACTCAGCACTCAGGAGTGGTGTAGACATTCAGGCCCTCTGACACACACACGCGCACACACACACACTCTGCTTTCTAGCTTCTCTCCTCTCTCAACAAAAACCCACAGCAGGCGTCCGAATGTATGCTCTTAGAGTTAGAGATGTCCATGCTTTGAGAATTCATCGTTACAGAAGTTACACACGCTCCGGCGAGGAGGGGGGGAATACAGACCTTGTCATGTCTGTATTCTTGTTGCTGGGTCCCTTCATGTACTCTACACAATGCATGTTCCAGATGTGGGTTTAAGCTCTGCTTCCTGTCTGATTCCTGTTTTTGCTCTGAAAGGGTTTCCTTTCCTCTGCCTAAAATTAACATCACGCCCACAAGGTCGTTTGAATGACATTCAACATCTTTGTTCGCTCTGTTCTCAGTAGATAGAGTACATCTCCATCTCATTCTATATTCTCCCAGGATCGGCCCCTATAAGACCTAGCTTTGCCGCTTTAGCATTAATCAGCTATAGAGGTCACCGTGTATCAGCTCATCATGGCGACCGTGCACTCTGACCCATCACCAGCTCGCATCTGTTTGTTACGTTGGGAAATGTGTGTGTGTGTGTGTGTGTGTGTGTGTGTGTGTGTGTGTGTGTGTGTGTGTGTGTGTGTGTGTGTGTGTGTGTGTGTGTGTGTGTGTGTGTGTGTGTGTGTGTGTGTGTGTGTGTGTGTGTGTGTGTGTGTGTGTGTGTGTGTGTGTGTGTGTGTGTGTGTGTGTGTGTGTGTGTGTGTGTGTGTGTGTGTGTGTGTGTGTGTGTGTGTGTGTGTGTGTGTGTGTGTGTGTGTGTGTGTGTGTGTGTGTGTGTGTGTGTGTGTGTGTGTGTGTGTGTGTGTGTGTGTGTGTGTGTGTGTGTGTGTGTGTGTGTGTGTGTGTGTGTGTGTGTGTGTGTGCCTTCTGCCTGTGTTTCTGAGGATGACTCATCGGTATTTGGGATGCCTCTGACGTTTCCTGCCTGGTGTTCATTTGTCAGATCCACAAAGAACACGATACCCGGCCTCACAGCATCACAACCAACACAGCTGAGCTCGGCGTTTTTAAAGCCTGCTTAAATCTCCCAGATGCATCAGAACATCAGGCAGTGACGCTGGTCAATAGCAGCGGTTTAGAGGGTGCTACATCACAGCGTGCTCGAGCCGTTTGCTCGACACAATGAGCCACTGTTTGTGCCTATCACAGTCCTCTAGTGGTCTGAAAGTCAGTTATTGATAAAAAACAATAAAGGTAGTCAATGGTCATTTATTTAACAAGCTAAATTCAGGTCTAAAAACATGCATGTCTCATTAGCTAAAATGATGTGTTTTCATGCCACAGGATTTCATTAAAGTATCTAATATAGGTGCAAGCCGTTTTTGAGCTGACAAAGATATGATTGTATTTGAAATGTTGTCTTATAGCACATTTTGGTTTGGAGTTTAGAGTGTGTGGGTGTTACTCTTATTCACTATGACAGGATAACAAAATGTGGCCGCAGCGGAACATAAATGCCCTGTCCTGTTTGTTTAAATGCTTATCTGGTGTGAGATTTGTATACTTCTCCAATTACTGGGAGTGGCAAAATGAGATAAAGTCGCTGGTTACTTTGCATTTCTAGGCCTCGTTTATTTTGGGTGTATTGTCTTTTATTCTATTATAACAGGAAACTGAGCATATTCAGAAAGGGTAACGTCTCTTCGTCGAAGTTCTACAGCAGAACATGTAAAGGTTGTTATCTGTAAGCCTGGGTGTCAGTGGTTTTGGTGTTAACCCTCCTAAGTCAAAAAGGGGTAATAGCTTCTGTCAACTCTCCCAAGTTCTGCAATCATACAGGAATAAATCAAATGTAGAGACGCTGAGAAACCAATTTCTGTCCTGACAGCAGCCTCAAAGAACAAGAATACAGTGCAGGCACATGAAAGGATTCGTCAGTAAATCGCAGGACTGATGTTGTGCTGGGAAAACACTCGCTTGTTTATTCTTAAAAAACATTTCTGGGGCATTTACTTGGGAATACAGATAGGGATGACATGTCTGCTTTGGAGCTTTTCATCTCATTTCCTATTCTGCACAATCGAAGGCATAAATCCAACTTTGAATATACTTATGTTCATCCACTTGTGATCACACTGGAACCACATACTGTAGATTATGGAGAGCATTAACACTAATCTCTCATATTTTCTGTGTTTTAAAGATCCTAAATGGCTTTCCACCAACCTGGGGATCCTGACTTGCATCGAGTGTTCTGGCATCCACCGAGAGATGGGGGTCCACATCTCCCGCATCCAGTCCATGGAGCTGGATAAGCTAGGAACCTCAGAACTCTTGGTGAGTCAGAGAGTCTACCGAGTGAATAAATAGCTCTTTTTTTCGAGGCGGCGGTCCACACCCTGAACTATTTTCATCTGGAGTTAAATATTCAAAATTATGAAAGATTAGTGGAACGGATTTTGGTTCTTTGAGCACCAATGTGAACTTGTGTGTCTGAGAACATGTGAATACTTCTGTTCTATTGTGACCTAATCCTGTTTTTCTTTCCCCTAGTTGGCCAAGAATGTAGGCAACAGTAGTTTCAATGAGATCATGGAGGGGAACCTCACTACCCCCTCACCAAAGCCCACTCCATCCAGTGACATGTGAGTACTATCTAAGCAAAAAGCTGCTTGAAAACTAGATTTTTTTTTTAATACATATGATCACATCTGACTGAATTCCTCTTTTCCACCACAGGACGGTGAGGAAGGAGTTCATCTACGCTAAATATGTGGACCACAAGTATGCGAGGAAGACGTGCACATCTGTGTCCGCTAAAATGATCGACCTGTTTGAGGCGGTTCAGTCCAGGGATCTGCTGTCCCTCATCCAGGTCTACGCAGAGGGGGTGGAGCTGATGGAGCCGCTGCCCGAGGTCGGAGCGGTAAGTCCTTTTAGTTCATGGGTATTAACCTAGAACAAGAAAGAACATTTAGTCATGCAGATCATTAAACTTTCTTACTGAGTGTTCTGTTCATCAGGATATTTGCCTCTACTCCTTATTTAAAACCACTGTTTTCGTCCACCTTGCAAATATAAGTCCAATATTCACTCTCTTTTAGCTCCGTGTTTGGTCTCTACCATCTTGCAAACGACCGTTTTTGCCTCCGTAGCTTCTACATTTTCCACTATGTCCACCAGCTAGTCGCAAACTGTGCCTCTGCTGTTTTGTGCTGAACAGGTAGTGAGCATTGGTTTTACAAGCTTTTTATCTTGAAACAGCTGCCTTCTGCGGCCACATTGAAAGACATGAGAGTGGTAAAAGTGAACCACAACATTTAAACCTATGGTGGACAGATTCAGCAATGAAAACTGTTGAGAGGAAGGTCTGTTGCTCATGGCAACTAGTTGGCAAACAATTCCAGCTTTTCACATGTGGATATTCCCATGATTGTCTTAGATATCTTGGATATTCATATTTGTAGGATTCACACTCCTGCCAAAACAAGCAGTTTGACTACATTGTCTTGGGGTCATGTTGTTACTTTCTTCCACTGTATGACCTTTAAATAGTTGACATTCTTGGTTGGTATGTTGCCTGGAATATTGGCTACATATCAACCTCCTCCCATAGCTACAGTATATCCTTTTAATCACACACCATGATCTGATACTGGACTACAAACCCCAGAAGTGTCCCTCTCAGATCTCTACACTGCAGTGGATCATCCTCCTGCCAGCGGGACAGAGAACATTGACACATTTCTACCCATTGGTGAATTATTTGGCGGGTAAATTAAAGGTTGTATCATCAACAGCTGGATCATTTAAAGTCATCCTGATATCTTCACCAGCAGGTGGTGATATCCAGCAACCTTCATCACATTGTAGGGCATCAACTCATTTTGAGTTCATTTTTAATCCGATGACGACACCTGCGTGATTCAAGTTTTTCATTCTGTGGTTCAGCCTCTTTGTGTATTTGCACCGCTGGATAAGGCATATATGACATTTGAATAACAAGAGGTGGATGGTGAGAATGCCGTAGCGTAAACAACACAGATGATCAGACTTAAGCTGACATAAATGGGTCAAGGTTTTATAACACAGACATGGTAGTTCTCTTCATGAAAAATGAAGTGTGCAATGCAGCAGCAGAATTAACGAGGTTTGAAGACAGAGAGAGCTGCTGCTGCTGCTGCTGTCTGCGCTATTAAGTCTGACTCACTGATATCTGATCTGCTGTTGTCAGTACCTCTGAATGGCTGACAGCACGGTGACATCCCACTCCCCCGCATAACCAGACACATACAGGGACACACTGCCCTTACTCTTCCCTATTATATACAGCACATATATCCCTTACTCCACTATATTTAATCCTTTATCTCCATCTTTAAAGCTGCATTTAATGAACTGACATCTTGATCTAGTTTGAGAGGAAGATGTTATTATTGCAAGACAATGGCAACATGTTAAACTCTAAGCCTTGCCTGCTGAAATATTATTTTTAGGAGCCATTTTGTTTACTGCAGCTTGTTTAAATGCTGAAATAGACGCAGAGAGGGAGAGAATACAGAATGGATGCTGCACAAGATTGTCTCATGGTGTCTGTGCTGTGTTTGGTGGCCCCCTGCAGGAATCCGGAGAGACAGCACTGCACTACTCTGTACGGACTGCTGACCAGACCTCCCTGCACTTGGTGGACTTCCTTGTGCAGAACAGGTACATTTTTCACAATCCTTTTCACCCAAAAAAGCCAGAATATAATTGCCTCATCACGTGCATTTCTTTGGGCGATTCATGCCGATTACAAAGCTGTCAAAAATATCTATTAACACATCAACGCTTTAGAGATAAAATGAAATAAACCACAGTTTTGTGCAAACACGCAGTATCAAATATGCTCTGCGTGAGTCTTTCTTGTTCTCGGCTTCGCTCTGTAAGAAAGCAGTGGACGTGCAGAGGAGAGCTTAGCGCTGCAGCTCATATTCCCACAAGGCAAAAAGAAATGGGTCAAGCACTTGTTCGCTGCCTTTAATTTATTCCCTTCTCTTTTCAATTGTTTACCCACCACTGCTCCGAGTGCACACACAAGACGTGGAACCCTCTCACAAATTAATAGCAGCGCTCATACGGTGTCATGCTTAGACCTCATTATTTAAGATATATCTCTTGTTATTTAAGATATATGATAGATAGATAGATAGATAGATAGATAGATAGATAGATAGATAGATAGATAGATAGATAGATAGATAGATGGATGGATGGATGGATGGATAGATAGATAGATAGATGGATAGATGGATAGATAGATAGATATATAGGTAGATGTATAGATATATAGATAGAAAGATAGATGGATAGAGATAGATGGATAGATCGAGAGATAGATAGGTAGATAGATGGATAGATAGATAGATAGATGGATAGATGGATAGATAGAGAGATAGATAGATATATAGATAGATGTATAGATATATAGATAGAAAGATAGATGGATAGATAGATAGATGGATAGATAGATAGATAGATAGATAGATATATGTATAGATATATAGATAGAAAGATAGATGGATAGAGATAGATGGATAGATAGGTACTTTATTGATCCCATTTGGGAAATATTTGCGTTGCAGCAGCAAAAAAAAAGGCAATTTACATAAGAGAAATTAAGACACAGAAATAAACAGTCCAAAATATTTCAGAAATAGAAATAAAATAGCATTAAAAAGTTAAAAGATGAAATAGAAATTAATAAAAAATATATATACATGTGGAAAATATACATGTGGAAATACAAATTTCCAGTAACAAATATAATGCAGGATATTATTGTGCAAGAATGGATTATTTAATATTAAATAGAACATGAATGTAAAATGTACAGTGGGAGTTTAAGTCCAGTTATTAAGAGAATATATAATATAATATAATCCCTTTTAAGAGAGATTATTTGCCTACTGTAACAAGAAAGAGTGAATTTGCCTAGCATTGTTTAATCAAATGTTTTTATGAGGGATTTTAAAAGCTCATTCTAAACTACTAAAGGAAAAGACAGTTAAAAATATCCTGTTTTCTCTTGTGCAAAATCCCCAAATCCTGGGTTATTCCACATTAACCTTTAGCTGCAGGATTCTGGAAATCACCCTAGAGCTTGTAACCTGTGTCCTGACTTTGTGTGTGTTTTTCTCCCAGTGGTAACGTGGATAAGCAGACGGAGTGGGGCAACACCGCCCTGCATTACTGCAGCATGTACGAGAAGCCCGAGTGCCTCAAGTTACTCCTGAGGGGCAAGCCAGCGACTGATATCAGTGAGTCACAAGTCCAGGTTCATCCTCTCCTTAAAGTCCTGTGTACGCCACACTCCTAACTGTTGATCATCCCTCTCTCTTCCCCTTCAGCCAATCAGAACGGAGAGACGGCGCTGGATGTTGCCAGGCGACTGAGGAACACTCAGTGCGAGGAGGCAGTAAGTACAGCCGGTGATTTTGGACATCACAGAGGTTTATAACGCTCTAAAAAAAACATGGAATTAAAAGAAAATCACATATAATACATTACATTACATGTCATTTGTTAGACGCTTTTATCCAAAGCGACTTACATACTCAATACTGTGGACAATCCTCACAGGAGCAATTTGGGGTGAAGTGTCTTGCCCAGGGACACAACGACATGCTGACTGCAGTGGGGTTTGAACTTGCTATCCTCTGATTCGAAGTCCAGCACACTGCCTAATAAAAAGCATTGGTTGTGGAATAGAGCTTGTGGTTGATTTAACATTTTATCAGGGAGATAATTCAGAACACTAGATGGCAGTCAGAGGTCTGTCTCCAGCCTCAGGCAACAGGGACAGCAGAGTGGAAGTAATGGTTGATGTATGTTCATTATTAACGCTTTTATGACCATGCAGACAAAAAAAAAAGCTATTTTGAATGCAGTAAAAAATAAATATATTATTAAAGTATTTGTACATTTAACACATGGGGGATATTGTTACTTTGTGGAAGCTGTGTACTGCTGAACATGCCCATAAAGAAAGTGTTTAAATGACCCTGTCTTTTCCCACTCAATGTTTATTTTGTGTCTAACTTATTGAGTATTTATAGTGGCAGACAATTTTAGTTCCACTTCCTTATCATGTTTTCCATTAATAGGGTTTGGGATTGTCTCTATTTAAATGTAACTGATGAACGTGTATGTGTGTGACAGCTGGTGCAGGCTGCAGAGGGGAAGTTCAACCCTCACATCCATGTGGAGTACGAGTGGAGCCTCAGACTGGAGGAGATGGACGAGAGCGATGACGACCTCGATGATAAGGTTCGATCAGAGTTCAGTTCCCTTCAAGCTTCAATTCAATCAGGTTTTCAGCGCGCCTCTATACAGTGCTGATGAATCTAATAATGAAACTATTGAGTCAGTCCGATGTGCAGATACCACAGAGCAGTGCTGCTCTAGAGCTTAAAGGTTTTAAAAGAGCTGCAGAAATTAGCCTGATTTTGGCAACTCCTGACCATTTATGTTCTTTTGTGTTCTTTTTTATCAGGACTCTATTAAAAGAGCCTTTTCTTTCTTTATTTTGATGGAAACACCAAAGAATAGCAACTATTAGAAACTGGCCAAAATATCGAGGCATGTTAATATGCATATCAAAATATTCAAATGCATAATTTGAATGCCTATATATGTTTGAGTATCACCATGCCAGTAATGCCATCATCAGGTGATGGTACTTTTTGGCCAACTTAAGTTAGCAAATGTCCCCCCCCCCCCCTCCTATGCAGTGGCACAAAATGTCTTGAAATAAGAAGTGATGTGGGAGAAGACCCTGCGCTGTTTAATACATTACATTTTGAGTCACAATCGCAGGCAGTTATGCTGAGCGGGAAGCAATGTGTTGATTTTGGTGAAATCCTGTTAAATGAGGCGCTAACACCATGGAAACTCCAGAGATATCAAGCTTCCGGGATGTGTTGCGAATATTTATTTGTAGTGATGAGTCTCATAAGACATGAACAGCCCAGTTAAAAAAAATGGTGTGTGTTTTCTATTATTTATTTGGGAAAAGGTGGTCAAAATCAACTCAAGGCCCTTTGAGTTACAAAGGGTTGAGATTCCCTACATTTAAAAATCTGCAGGTTATGATATTAGCTCTTATTCCCAGACTGTGTCTCGTATCCCTTTGCAGCCCAGTCCCATCAAGAAGGACCGCTCCCCGAGGCCTCAGAGCTTCTGCCACTCCTCCAGCCTCTCCCCCCACGACAAGCTGTCCCTGCCGGGCTTCATCAGCCAGAGGGACAAGCAGCAGCGCCTGTCCTACAGCGCCTTCACCAACCAGATGTACAGCGCCTCCACCGATCTCACCTCCTCCCCAGTGGCCGACGGGCCGCCGCTGCCCCCCAGGAACCAGGGCAAAGGTCAGACCTGACTGCTCCGACACCCACAGCTACATCAGTCTTTAGATTATAACCATGACAGGCAATGAAGTCATGTAATGCTAATATCTCTTTTGCAAATGTCAGCCTGTTATGCAAATAGCTTCTGCTTTGTTTACTGTGTCTGATCAGTAGAGGGAAGCTAGTCTTTGGAACTGTACTTCATTAGCTCTGTTAATGTTTGATTATACCAAGGACAGGATTAGGTGCGGAGGAATGCTGCGTAATTACTTTCCCTCCAAAATGTCTTCTTTGTTAGTCCACGTGTATACACACACCCTGCAGTGGAATGTCATTTGTTGAACGCACAAATCAGAGGGCGGAATGCAGGTGTCATTAAGATTGCTTACACAGTAACCATCAGAAAACATGGCTGCAGGAGAGGGCAGGGGGTAGCTGTTAGTCAGGCCAGAGGTACACACTTCATCATTATCCTCAACACATTATACACACTTACACTGTGGACGTGCTGGCTCTGCAGTATTACAATCAAAGATAACACTCCTCCCTCAGTGGAGTAGTTTGAAACACTAACAGTGTTACTATGAAAACATTGCACAACATGCAAAACATCTTAACAAGGCATTTTTAATCCTTTGAGGCTTTAAATCTTATTTTTCTTAAAGCAAAGGGTGTGAATTATCACTTGATTCCAGTTGAGTCTTTTGGAAAGCCCTCAATTGGCCTTTCTTTTAAACATAAGTTTAATTTCTAGATGACAACAGTTGCTTTTGTTGGCTAAAGTGAGGACTGTCGCTGGCAGATTTGGACTATCCTTAGCTTAATCCTAACTCCGTCTCCACTGTAACTGTTTTTAGCTGACTAGATTTCAAATGAAAACACTTAAAGGTGGGGTAGGTAATTCACTTCAGAAACACTTTTTGTTATATTCCATGGAATGCTCTTAACATCCCAATAGCAATGAATACATTAAATGCTTTGACAATAATTACATAAAAAAAATTCATCTATGGAAGCCGTGGCGCTGTAAAAAGCACGACCAATCATTTTAGCCGGCCCGGCTAAAAAAGCTGGATGGCCTACCTGCCTGTCAGCCTTCCATCTGTGCACAAACTTATCTCGTGCCCTCATTGGTCATGTGCACGTTCGTGTGTGTTGGAGGAGGGGCTCTGTGAGGAAGTCTGAAGGAAGGGGCAGATTTCTTTCAGCTGCGTACTTTCAAATTCTAGCGCACTCGAGCTGGTTTCTCCATTCTTACCTACCCTACCTTTAAACATGAACATGATAGTAACAGACATGATACAATGCTAAAAAGTTAAACCTGCATGTCTCAGGAAAAGATAAGTAATAAGAAGACATGAAAAAAACAAACATCCCCTCTTGATCTTTAGAATTGAAAAGGCACTACTAATCATCCAAAACGATATCAGGATTAAGAAAGAATATTTCACTTTAAAGCACCAACAGTATAAGTTGATTTTCTTAAAGTTTGATATGGTCAAAAATGTGATTATAAAGGCTGAATGATATACATACATTTAGAATAACATACTAACTCTTGATATTCTCCAGATAGCAGCGCTCCCTTGGGTGCTGAAGACCCCCCCCCCTGGGGCCAGCTTCGCGCCATTTTTCTTCTTTTTCTTTTCTTTTTCTTTGCTTGCCACTGATAAGATTTCATCTTGTTATTTCACAGTGTGTGGGAGCAGCTCTTCTTAAGACTGACATACTGTAGATTCTCTCCCACACTCCTCATCTCGCTCTCTTTTCTTTCTCTTTTTTTGTTTCTCTATTCTTTCAGCTCCACACTTGGCATTCCTTGGCTCTCATTCGCACTACGCCACTCTGGCTGGCACTCGACCATACATCAGTGAATATCCTGGTTTTATGTTCTCCCCCTTACTCGGCTGTGTGCCCCCTATATACACTTATCCCTCAGTTGTTTCCTGCTTTACAGCTCACATTCACAGGGTGGTGGTGTTTTATTAAGCAAACAATGGGACCATGTAGGCAAACTTAGTCTCCACTTCTTGCCTACGTGAATTTTGTATCATGCTGGAAATCATGTCCCACCATCCTTGAGCTGTAAACTCTTAACCACAGCTGATTCCTCTCTGGCTGAGCTCTCTATAAGCTGCTTCCACCCTTCTTTTCTTTATATTAGTGAACAGTGAGTCCCATTGGAAACAAAAAGACGTATTCATAAACAAATTCACCGATTAGAGCCACAAGAAATGTGCCTAATCATGGTTTCCCTTTTCCATATTCCCATCTGTTTTTTATTTGTTGTCTCCTCATATTGTTTCGTAAAAAACTAAATTCTTCTCCATATTTTCCGCTCCTCCTCTCCTCCATGCTCCATTTTCCTCTCCTTTATCTTCTCGGGGGGTTAGGGGGTTGTCAGAATGACTTTTTTGGGGAGTCTCGTCACCTCATGTGTTTTATGTATCGCTCCTCCAGCTCCTCCCCCATCTGGCCCTCCCTCTACACTCACACCAGGAGCCAGCTCCACCCTGTCCAAGAAGAGACCTCCGCCCCCACCTCCTGGACACAAACGCACCCTGTCTGACCCACCCAGCCCGCTCTCTCACAGTCCACACAGTAAAGGGGGCTTGACTGGGGGTGAGACACAAGCACGCGTCCTGACAGTAGGCTGGTTTTGCTCCAGCAACAGATCTTATCAAAGTTCAGAATGTTGCAGGGTTATTCTAAAAGTTCTGCACTTAAATTCAAATAAATACTTTTCTCAGGGGTTTGAGGGTTTTCATTGAGAGTCATACAGACTAGCTGATGCCTTTGTATGTGTCTTTGTGCAATTTAAAAGTATTTTGAATGGCTCATTATGTGGATATTCATAGATGCAACTCATATTTTTCCTCTATTTTGGATAAATCTTGTATTTTTTGATAACCGGGTTAAGGTCTAAAAACAATCCCAATTTGTTGACACTTTTAGAAAGTGATTCAGTTTATTATAAACATAAAATAAAAGCAGCAAATCCTCTCACTTTCGTTTTGGGTTCAAATACCTTGGATGATACACGTCATCCAGGTCAAAATATGGATGTTGACACCATTTACTAACTGTAACTTTAATGCATCTGTGAGTGCTCCATCAGGTAGGATGAGGCATTTTACCATCTTTAAGTACCCATTTCTAAGTTTTTTTAAATCCACTAGTTGATCTGAGATAACAAGTAGCATACTTTTAAACTGCACAAAATATATCATATTTAACACAGAAGAGTTATGTTTTAACTACCACTTGGAGACATAACCGCAGTCATCTTACCTGCAATCATCTGTCCCTTATGGGTATACTGGGGGTATTTTGACTGTTTTTCCATTGTTATCATTTTCCCTCTGGTGTTTTGTGCATTCTGTGTCACCCTTACCCAACCACCAATTAAATGATGACACTTTATTGCACAACCCCCAAATAACTCATGGAAAGCTCAGCCAGATGACACCTCCCTCACTATTATTTTTGTTTTAACCATCACAGCATGTTTATTATTATTATTATTATTATTTCACCATTAATTTTGTATTAATCTCTGGGTTAATGCTCTGCTATGTTGTTGAGTAATCTGTGTCGTCATCGATGTCAATGTTTTAGGAAGCGACTCCACCCCTCCTCCTGTCAGCAAGATGTCTCCGGTCTCTAACAAGTTTGAAGGAATTCCTCAGCAGCAAAGGTAACAAACAAAAAAAGACGATGGAATGTGAATCATTTTATCATAACTCGCTAAGAAAATGTGTATCCCAGCAGATAAGGTTCAAGCGTTTTCTTACATAATCTTTTTCATTAAACTTCACGTGATAAATCTTTTCCCAGCACTACTTCGCTCAACACAAAGTCTACACTTGGTCCAAGGGTTCTTCCCAAACTACCTCAGAAAGGTACGCCTTTGTCCAGCTTTATTTTGATACAAGCTGTTAAATGGCAAAGTTATTCACACACTTCTCTCTCCAGTGGCATTGCGGAAGATTGACACCATCCACCACCCGTCGATGGATAAGCCCAGCCTCCCTCCAGAGGTCTTCCAGAAGTCCCCCCCGGCAGCCGACCCCCCCCAGAAGGCTCCTCTGGCGGACCGGCCTCAGCTGGCAGACCTGCCCCCCAAACCCCAGCCGTCTGAACTTCCTCCTAAACCCGGAGAACTTCCTCCCAAGCCTCAGCTCTCAGACCTCCCTCCTAAACCTCAGCTGGGAGACCTCCCCCCCAAACCCCAGCTCAAAGACCTGCCTCCGAAGCCGCAGCTCTCCGACATCCCCCCCAAACCCGGGACCGCCGAGCCCACCCCCAGGCAGCCGCACGGAGACACTCTGCAGAGGCCTCAAACACAACCTCCACCTCCCCCTCAACCCCAGTCCCAGCCCCAGCCCCTGCCTCAAGACTCACCGTCCCCTAATCAGCAAGCACCTGTTGGGACGCCCCCCCAACCAGCTGCTGAAAACACCAACGGGACCCCCACAGGGACCGCAGAGACACCCGTGCCCCTCCCCAGGAAGATCAACACGGTAAGAAGACCATGCTGAGTTTTAAAGTCAATACATGTGCTTTTCAGTGTGTTAAAACATGTTTTCAGAAGCATAATGCTCTTTTTAGATAAAGATTAGAGCCTGATCAATACTATATATGATTTTTTTTAAATAAAAACTGCCAGTATTCTTTTTTCCACATAACCTTTTGTTTCTTATTGGCCAACATTTATGCTGATACTGACATATTTCAGGTAATCTTATATTGGCTTAAATCTTGACCAGTTAATCAGGATCATCTATAGATGTAATACATGAGATTCATTATGCTACTTGTTACTTTAACAATGCTTATCAGCTGTTTAACATTCAGTTTGGATCACCATCTTCTGTTTTAAATGCTTGGTCACTCTGGTTTCTAGCGACAGTCTCTAACCACAGTCTCTAACCACTGCACACATTATGTTATATTTTCGCTTTTTCGCTCTCACAATACACGAGAAACAACTATTTTAAATATACATTCTTATTCTGAGCGGCCCAACATGGTACTTACACTACTCCCTCGTAAAAATAGAGAATGTTTTGTCACCGTTTTGTTTTTGTATGTCTAGGGGAAAAGCAAATCCCGCCGGGTGAAGACGATCTATGACTGCCAAGCTGACAATGATGACGAACTGACATTTGCTGAAGGAGAGGTGATTATAGTAACAGGAGAGGAGGACCAGGAGTGGTGGGTAAGTCAAGCTTCAATACTATCCACATTTTTCTTATATATAATACTTCTTTGTCCTTGAGCTATCTTAAGGGCACAATAACACAGAACTTTGTTCTCATATGTTTTCTAAACTCTTCCAGATCGGGCACATTGAAGGGGAGCCGGACAGAAAGGGTGTGTTCCCCATGTCTTTTGTGCACATCCTGAGTGACTGACAGTCAGAGAGACTTGCACTACACCTCTCCCTACATTGAGAGGTCCTGTACATAGCGATTATAACACCTCTTGTCCAATGACAAGTGTCCTAAAGAAGAAAAAAAAAACAAGAAACCAAGAAGGCTCATCGAGCCATGGATATCTCCTCCATGCTGTACAAAGAATGTGTGTATTCTTCCTTTACCAGTATTATCTTAACCCTATAGCACGGCTGTGAAGAAGCCACTCTCAAAACCCTAGCACTTACCTAAAGTCTATGTTTATGCTGTTACTGTGTATATATGTATGTAAATATATATATTTGTGTGTGAGTGTATATACATGTTTTATTGTACAAAACATGTACCATTGCTCTCTCTACCTGTCAGATTTAAACATCAGGGCGGTAGACTTTGAATTTTATCCGTATTGATTTTACTGGCCCTCAAGTAATTATCAGCTTATATTTCTGGAAAAAGGACAAATAAGAAAAGGAATGTGAAATAGGTCATGTCACTCTGTCTTGCATCCCTGTTTACCACCATAGTTGACTGAAGAGGCTGCAGTCTCCCACTGATCATGCCCCCAAATGAAAACATTAATGTACTCCTTGTTCTTGCTTGCTTTGTGTGTACATGTGTTATGGTTGTTTTACAGTATAGAAACCTGCTGCTACTGTGTGGTGGAATATCAAAGCCTGTGGTTCACTGTAGGTCACTAATTTACTCCTTGTTACACTGTTCACTGTATGTATGCTCTGTGTGTAAACTCAGCGCCATCCCCACAGTCCCTTGACTTTCTGTGCATGGTGTAACAATGACTGGAATTGAGTGGAGTGCTGCGTTCAAAGATGCTCACCTCAGGGTTTGAAGAGCCACTATTAAGCAGGACTACAAAAAAAAAAAATGTATCCTGTGTTTAAAGCCACTATTAACAAGTATGGGAAACTCAAGAGGACATCTTAGCAATAACTTGATTTTCTGACACCAACTGTTGTTCACAATTCAGTGTCTTGTAAAAACCTCATGAGCTTGAAATGTTTAAGTTTGATCATGTAATATCATTCCATGTTACTGGATCCAGTACATTTCCAGGTTTGCCTGTGAACCAGAGATGTCTTTAAGAAGCACGGTGGAATGAGCAAAAGGCTGGAGAGCCGATGTATTTTCACCCAGTCCTCACTGACTTGCAGTTTCCCTCCCCCATGTTAAGGAATAAACCCATCAACCCATTGTATCATAAATAAAGTGCTGTACTGAAACTCTGGCCCTGGGCTCTTGCTTTCATGTTTAAACATCCGTTTGCCTTCTTTTGGTGTTAGAAAAGTGCATGTTAGATATTGGTAAATTAGCCTACATTAATAGTTCTTAAAAATCACTAAAGCTAAGCAGCAGTGGATTCTACAAGTCAAACTTAAAAGTACTAAGGCTACTCTATTAACCATTTGGAATTATTTACTCTTGCTGTAAATTCCTAAACGGCTTGCGAAAAAGTCAAATGGAGTATTTCTTCAGTTTCATCAAGACAAAACATTTCAATACAAAGTTCTCAAATGATTCTTTATTTTGTTTTCTCAACAAATCACATTTAAACCAAAATGTACCATCAAATGGCTTCTTTTGGATTTCTCATTAACACAGGAATAATCTTTTAACATAAATATTTTGTGTCGCAACACAAATGTCATTTGACCAAATAAAAAGCAGCAATACTGGAGTTTACTGGTAAACAAAAAAAACTAAAACTATGTACACACTTAGGCTTTAAGTTTTGATCCTTGTTCCTTCACCACTGACTTGATGACTCCGACAGCGACCGTCTGCTTCAGGTCTCGTGCTGCAAAGCGACCTAGGAAGCGGGAAAAAAAACATGTTTAACACTGCAGAAGGTCAATATAAATGTAGCCTGATTTGGATAGTATACCTAAGGAAGGGTATGAGAAGAAGCTCTCGACACACATGGGCTTGATGGGAATCATTTTGACTGTGGCAGCGTCTCCAGATATCAGTAGCTGCGGATCGTCCTCCACTTTATTTCCCGTCCGCCTGTCAATCTTCTCCTTCAGCTCAGCAAAGCGACAGGTCACATGGGCGGTGTGGCAGTCCAGGACAGGAGAGTAGCCTGCCTTGACCTTCCCTGGATGGTTCAGGATGATCACCTTAAGATGGAAAATATACACATCAGCACAGGGGGGGGGGGGCAACAATGAATTATAAGTTTCAACTCTACTGAACAAACCTGCGCTTCAAAGCTGCTGACATCTGTGGGCGGATCCTGCTGGGCGTTTCCAGCCACATCCCCTCGCCGCAGGTTCTTTACAGCCACGTTCTTAATGTTGAAGCCGACATTGTGTCCGGGCAGACCTTGCTCCATCCCCTGGTGGTGCATCTCAATGGACTTCACCTCGGCAGTGATTTTGGCTGGCGAGAACATCAGGGTCATGCCTGGTTTGAGGACGCCAGTTTCAATCTTACCTACTGGCACGGTCCCGACTCCTGAGAAGATGAAAAAAAAGTGCATTTATAAGTTTAAACTAGTGGATTAAGGCTTTATCAGCTGACAAACATTTCTGTTCTTCCCCCACTCCAATTGCTCTGCTGCACACCTGTAACCCATGTTCTTAATTGGGAGCAGACAGGGCAACTCAAAAAATTACTAAAATGAACTGAGCATAACTCCTAACCTCCAATTTTGTAGACATCCTGCAGAGGTAACCGAAGGGGCTTGTTGATGGTGCGAACTGGTGGTTGAATGGAGTCCAGGACTTCAAGTAAAGTTCTCCCAATTGCATTTCCTCCCCTTCTTCTGGATTTCCATCCTTGGAACCAGGGCATCTGCAGAGGGGAACTTGTGTTAATGTGTTGCATGTTCCTAGATTTTCACAAGTTTAAGACCATAATTACCTTCTGAGTTGCAGTGATCATGTTCTCCCCAGTCCAGCCAGAAATTGGCACGAAAGGCACAGTTCCGGTTTCGTAGCCGATCTTCTTGAGGAAGCCGTTCACACCTCGCACCACTTCTTCAAAGCGCTTCTGGCTGAAAGGGGGTTCAGTCAGATCCATCTTGTTCACACACACTATGATCTGCTTCACACCCAGAGTGTAAGCCAGCAAGGCGTGCTCTCTGGTCTGACCACTTCTTGACACACCAGCCTCGTATTCTCCTTGAGCTGCAGAGACCACCAGGAGGGCAACATCGGCCTGAAAGGACATTTATGATATTGGTTAGCAGCAGAGCCGGCCCGACCCATTAAGCGACCGCTTAGGGCCCCGCAGCCACTAAGGGGCCCCCTAGCAAAAAAAATTATATATATATATATATATATATCAGTACACTGTCGCCGTGATAAGTATGTTTAATTAATTGTGTTAATATGCCTAGATTGCCTACTCTCAAAGTCATGTATTATATTATTGAGTCAATAATATAATACATTAACCGTGCTTTACCTGAACCTCATCATGACACAAGAGAGGTTGGCAGGATTGTAATTTCCCGTGTTCAGTGAATGCAACAGAGGCAAGACACCAGACGAACCAGAGAGTTGAATGGAAATAAACATCTGTCTTATTGGCTGACAGGTACCTATCCTGTGAGCTGTGACAATGTTTAAAATAAACTGTCAGTCGGACTCAGAGTTTTTGAAGTTGGACATAAGAAAAAAATGTCTTAAAAAGACGACAATTCTCAAGTGGTGGCTCAGACAACAACCCCAGAGCCACCACTTGAGCCAGGTAAACAAGGTATGTAAATGTCAGTAAACTTCCAAGTTATGTGAACATGTAAGCAAAGCATAAATTACAGCTACGTTGACGTTACTTTGAATCGCGGGGGTAAGCTAAACCGTTAGCAAGTAGCTATAGCTAGCCAGATATATTAAATAAACACTTTGTCATACAATATAAATGTAATGTTTTTTGGCATTACCTGGTGATTTCAAAGAAAGCTCTCTGGGAAATGTTGATTTACTGTTCGACATGAAGCTAGAAGCTACCTTACAGTACACAGTTGATCCGGAGTCCTGTCAGTTAAAGTGTTTCATAGTTAGCTTAGCTAAGCATCAACCTAGCACTGAAATATATGGATATTATGTGACAGAGAAAAGTCAGCTGAAATGGTGGCATAGTTGCCACTGTTTTACGTGTCGACAGCATGTTTGAACGTATTTGCAGCAGTAAATGTGGCTGGTTGGCCACTGACGTTGCCATAACACCTGAATTTAAATGTATAACCTCTTTTTGCAAGAAATTATAATTCTTCTGAATGATATTCCTAGTGACAGTTAATTTCTGTGTGAACATTATGAGATGGACAGCCAGAGAGAATAAATGAAAAACAGTTATGAAATACTATATGACAACAAGAATACAGTTTAAGTGATTTGCAAAATATCCATAAAGAAAAATCTGTTAACAGTTCTGTTTCATATGGGTGTTGACAGATGTATCCATAGATCTCTTAATGTTGCTCTCAAAGTGCAACAGATTGATGCTTTTAACTTCAATATTTTAAAAAAAATCTTCCCGGGGGATCATGCCCCCGGACCCACCTAGAGGAGGTTAGGTCCACGGTGTTTACATGCTTATTTATACAATATGTGTACTTGTGTTTTCATCATAAGACAAAAGTTGGTTCCGTGTTGTGTGTAGTGAGAACGTGCTCGATTGAGGGGGGCCGCCAAGCCAAAGCTCGCTTAGGGCCCCCAAAAGTCTAGGGCCGGCCCTGGTTAGAAGGCCCATGAAATTACACTTACATAAAGTAAAGAACCTCTGTGCTACTAACCTGTGAAGTCCCGGTTATCATATTTTTAATGAAGTCTCGGTGGCCAGGTGCATCAATTATAGTCATGCTGTATCTTTGAGTGTTAAATTTCATCAGAGAGATATCAATGGTCATTCCTCTCTCCCGCTCAGCTTTAAGCTTGTCCAACACCCAGGCAAATTTGAAGGAGCTCTTCCCCATCTGTAAATAAAATACATAACTGGTCTTAGTAGGTTTTAAGACATTTCAAGAGTTTTAAACCAATAGTTTCATTTATGTTTCTCACCTCTGCTGCAGCTTTCTCGAACTTCTCCAATCTTCTCTGGTCGACGCCACCACATTTGTAAACGAGGTGGCCGGTGGTAGTTGACTTGCCGCTGTCAACATGGCCGATAATCACCACGTTAACATGAGTTTTCTCTTTCACCATGCTTGAAGTTGGCTTTTCGAAACGAACAAATTAACGGTAGGTTTCTGAGCTGAAGATACAACGTTCACGCTTCCGAATTCTTCTATCAAATGTGTGTGAACAGCCACTGCGGAGCTGCGTTTTAAGCTGCTGCACCTGTCGACACATGATTGAAGACAGGTGTCCGTCATTAAGCTTAATTAGGCTGGTGCATGTTTGGTAAAGGAGGAAATGGCAAAACAGATTTTCAGGGAGAAGAGAAGAAAATGCTGAAAAGCTACATTTTGCTCACTTATTTTTGGGGGGAAGCAGGAGTGAGAATTAAGGTACATTATATGTTATTAATGTGCAACAAATGGCAGTTGCAGTCACCTTATAATATCATGTTACAGCCAGGTTTGTCATGCAGGGATGGCTTAGTTTGAAGAGCCTTAAAATAAAGGAAAAAAATAAACTACTAAAAGGCAATAAGCTTTTTAAAATTAAAGTTCCCTGTTAAACCCCAAGGACCCCCTCGGCGGGTCCTTTTTTTTCACGATACTGTGTCTCAGGGGATCTTAATATTTAAGAACCTATTAATGTGTTATACCAGATTAACGGGAATAATCTCAGCTAACTGATGATACAAATCATTTTTACCAAAACAAAACACAAGTGTCATAAGAAGCATCTAAATGACGCCTGAGCGAAAAAGGCTAATGCACTTTGGCACAGAACTCAAGATAAAATATAGGCCTACCCTTATTACTTATCGTAGCTGCACATACAAGATATCCGATTAAAACTGAGATTCCACAGATTATTTAGGTATATATATCACTGAGTGATCCGAACTCGCGACAGGGGAAGCAAACACAGACATCACGGCAGATCGTCTCACCGCTGTTAATCTGATCAAAAGACTTGTTCAATGACATTAAAACGAAAAAAAACGCGGCTGAATCGGTTAATCCATAGGTTGATAATGTTTCTATGGAATTCTTTTTTTTAATTTATAATCCATAATTCCATTTTAATGTAAAAATCGGAGAGTAAAAATTAGCTGCTAATGGTAGCCACCAGAGTTCAGTCTCACACACACATATTACCAAATAAGGAGTATGTGGGAGTTCCCCTCGATTCCATTGGCTCTGACGGTTAGAAAGAGATGTCAATCAGCAAAATCGAGCAAGGGGGGCCAGAGATAGGTCAAATCCACCCAAATGACCCCAGAAGTGTTTTTTTTGTTGCTACATCTCTCTAAAAAGGTCAAATGTCACTTGTTGTGCATCAATCTTGATACAGGGTCTACCATCCCATCATTCAAGGGTGGTTTTCACTATAAGTCTTTCTTTTTTTTTTGGACGGACACAATAATTTACATTATAGAGTTTCTTACATAATCTTTTTCATTAAACTTCATGTGATACATCTTTTCCCAGCACTACTTCGATCAACACAAAGTCTACACTTGGTCCAAGGGTTCTTCCCAAACTACCTCAGAAAGGTACACCTTTGTCCAGCTTTATTTTGATACAAGCTGTTAAATGGCAAAGTTATTCACACACTTCTCTCTCCAGTGGCATTGCGGAAGATTGACACCATCCACCACCCGTCGATGGATAAGCCCAGCCTCCCTCCAGAGGTCTTCCAGAAGTCCCCCCCCGGCAGCCGACCCCCCCCAGAAGGCTCCTCTGGCGGACCGGCCTCAGCTGGCAGACCTGCCCCCCAAACCCCAGCCGTCTGAACTTCCTCCTAAACCCAGAGAACTTCCTCCCAAGCCTCAGCTCCCAGACCTCCCTCCTAAACCTCAGCTGGGAGACCTCCCCCCCCAAACCCAAGCTCAAAGACCTGCCTCCAAAGCCGCAGCTCTCCGACATCTCCCCCAAACCCGCGACCGCCGAGCCCACCCCCAGGCAGCCGCACGGAGACACTCTGCAGAGGCCTCAAACACAACCTCCACCTCCCCCTCAACCCCAGTCCCAGCCCCAGCCCCTGCCTCAAGACTCACCGTCCCCTAATCAGCAAGCACCTGTTGGGCCGCCCCCCCCCCCCCCCCCAACCAGCTGCTGAAAACATCAATGCAGAGACACCCGTGCCCCTCCCCAGGAAGATCAACACGGTAAGAAGACCATGCTGAGTTTTTAAGTCAATACATGTGCTTTTCAGTGTGTTAAAACATGTTTTCAGAAGCATAATGCTCTTTTTAAATAAAGATTAGAGCCTGATCAATACTATATATGATTTTTTAAATGAAAACTGCCAGTATTCTTTTTTCCACATAACCTTTTGTTACTTATTGGCCAAATGCTTGGTCACTCTGGTTTCTAGCAACAGTCTCTAACCACTGCACACATTATGTGTGAGAAACAACTTTTCTAAAGATACATTCTTATTCTGAGCGGCCCAACATGGTACTTACACTATACTCCCTAATAAAAATAGAGAATGTTTTGTCACCGTTTTGTTTTTGTATGTTCAGGGGAAAAGCAAATACCGCCGGGTGAAGACGATCTATGACTGGGTAAGGTGGGTTAGTCAAGCCTCAATACTATCCATATTTTTCTTATAATACTTCTTTGTCCTTGAGCTATCTTAAGGGCACAATAACACAGAACTTTGTTCTCATATGTTTTCTAAACTCTTCCAGATCGGGCACATTGAAGGGGAGCCGGACAGAAAGGGTGTGTTCCCCATGTCTTTTGTGCACATCCTGAGTGACTGACAGTCAGAGAGACTTGCACTACACCTCTCCCTACATTGAGAGGTCCTGTACATAGCGATTATAACACCTCTTGTCCAATGACAAGTGTCCTAAAGAAGAAAAAAAAAACAAGAAACCAAGAAGGCTCATCGAGCCATGGATATCTCCTCCATGCTGTACAAAGAATGTGTGTATTCTTCCTTTACCAGTATTATCTTAACCCTATATCTCCTCCATGCTGTACAAAGAATGTGTGTATTCTTCCTTTACCAGTATTATCTTAACCCTATAGCACGGCTGTAAAGAAGCCACTCTCAAAACCCAAGCACTTACCTAAAGTCTATGTTTATGCTGTTACTGTATATATGTATGTAATTATATATATTTGTGTGTGAGTGTATATATACATGTTTTATTGTACAAAACATGTACCATTGCTCTCTCTACCTGTCAAATTTAAACATCAGGGCGGTAGACTTTGAATTTTATCCGTATTGATTTTACTGGCCCTCAAGTAATTATCAGCTTATATTTCTGGAAAAAGGACAAATAAGAAAAGGAATGTGAAATAGGTCATGTCACTCTGTCTTGCATCCCTGTTTACCACCATAGTTGACTGAAGAGGCTGCAGTCTCCCACTGATCTTGCCCCCAAATGAAAACATTAATGTACTCCTTGTTCTTGCTTGCTTTGTGTGTACACGTATTATGGTTGTTTTACAGTATAGAAACCTGCTGCTACTGTGTGGTGGAATATCAAAGCCTGTGGTTCACTGTAGGTCACTAATTTACTCCTTGTTACACTGTTCACTGTATGTATGCTTTATGCGTAAACTCAGCGCCATCCCCACAGTCCCTTGACTTTCTGTGCATGGTGTAACAATGACTGGAATTGAGTGGAGTGTTGCGTTCAAAGATGCTCACCTCAGGGTTTGAAGAGCCACTATTAAGCAGGACTACACAAAAAAAAAATGTATCCTGTGTTTAAAGCCACTATTATTAACAAGTATGGGAAACTCAAGAGTGAGTGAGTGGTTTACTAATGACAGTTAATTCTGTTTTTGCTCTTGATGGTTTCATTTTTGTGAAAAATAATAAAATAATAAAATTCAATAACGTGCTTTAACCACTAGGTGTCCCTTTCTATCAGCTGTGCACCGTTATGGTGTAAATACAGCCTGTCTACCAATTGGATCAAATATAAAAGTCAGCCGAATTAGTGTTGATACTGCAAGGACACGTATTGTGTGAAAATAAATCTAAGATGTTGTTTAATTGCTGATATATTTATGATTCACGTCATGTTTTCAGTTTTGGCGGCAGTTCTCCCTGTTTGTCTAGAAGTCTTCTCATCAGGGCCGTTATGTGATGACTTTCAAAGAGAAAAGCAAGCACACTCGGAATAAAGTATTATTTGATTTTTTTTAAATGTTTTCGGATTTCACATCGCATAAACACCATTTCCCAACGTGCATTGCGGCTAAACCATCGAATCACCGAGCTGAGGATCTTGCCTACGTCTGTTTCCGGTATTGTTTTTGACAGATGTATTTTGTTATACACACATTCCTTCACATTTAAATTTAAATTAAAGTATTTCGTGAGGCCTTCTAAAATGTTTTTAAATATGACTACGGTTCGAGTTGAAGAGTTTGTAAATTAACATGAACCGAAGCTGTTGCCTGGTAACGCAATCGCGCAACGTCACGTCCGTTAATTCCACATCCACAGATCCACACACATAGATTAACATCGATTTAATCGAGTTCACGTCTTGCCGTGATACCGGGTTGTGCTGACCATGTCCATGCCTTTATGACAACAGTGTACCAATCTTCTGATGGCTACTTCCAGCAGGATAACTCACCGTGTCACAAAGCTCAAATATTCTCCAACTGGTTTCTTGAACATGACAATGGGTTTTACTCAAATGGCCTCCAGTCACCAGATCCAAATCCTACAGAGCACCATTGGGATGTGGTGGAACCAGAGATTTGCGTCATGGATGTGCAGCTGACAAATCTGCAGCAACTGCGTGATGCGATCAGGTCAATATTGAGCAAAAATCTCTGAGGAATGTTTCCAGTAGCCTACCTTGTTTAATCTATGCCATGAAGACTTAATGCAGTTCTGAAAGCAGATGGGGGTCCAACCCATCCTAGCAAGGTGTACCTAATTAAGTGGCCGGTGAGTGTATTACTTAGGTCCATTTGTATTGTTAGTGTGTGTCTGTAGGAGTAAAGTCTAGACACATTCTTTGGATGTAAGCATTGGCTAATTAAACAGATCATGATTAAATGACATGATAATAAGGGTGATCACCAAAACCTTATACCAGGGGTGGGGAACCTCCGGCCCTCGAGTTAACTCGGATCCGAAGGTGACTGATAACTGCTAATGGCATTTAGTTGAATACCAGACATAGTAAATGCAAAGCAGGATAATAAAAAAAAGGTAATAAACAAGCCATTCAATCGTAATACTCGTTTTAATACGTTCACATGCATACAACACAATACAATAGACTTGTTAAGTCCTGTTCGTTGTCCTGTTTGTAGTCCTCATCACCGTTCTGTTTGTTGTCTTCATCACCGTCCTGTTCGTTGTCCGTCCTGTTCGTTGTCCTCATCACCGTTCTGTATGTTGTCCTCATCACCGTCCTGTTTGTTGTCCTCATCACCGTCCTGTTCGTTGTCCTCATCACGTCCTGTTCGTTGTCCTCATCACCGTCCTGTTTGTTGTCCTCATCACCGTCCTGTTCGTTGTCCTCATCACGTCTTCAATGTCTTCCTCCATCATGAGAAAAGACGAGTCCGTGCCAATACAGCTGTAGGTGCTGGTGACTCTGCTCAGTTTCTGCTCCAGAAGATATTGATGGTGTAAAAGACAGCAGTGCAGTCCCCTGTATCCCTCTTCTGTTATATCGCTTAGAGAAACTAAAATAAAAAGACAAAATTACAGTCTATGTAAGGCAACTTTTAATTAGCATTGATGTTGGTTCCATATAAGCAATTTTAATGTTTAACTCTGAGGCTGTATATTAGCTAAAAAGATTTGTGATTCAGAAAAAATGCAATCATTACAGATGCTATTCAGTGACAGACATTTGACACTGACCAGAAGGGGCAGTGGCAAATTTTATAAATCGGTATTTGTGGAACATACTTTGGTTCCTGATGTCGTCTTTTGTCTGATGAAGGGGGTGGTCCAGTTTGTCCAGTGCCTGCCTCAGATTTTGACAATGCTGGGTCATCTCCTTCACAATGATGACTTTCTCCTCTTCCATACGCCTGACCAGCACAACCTGGTCAAAAAGTCGCCTCTTAGTGCGCAGGTTCACCACTATAATGGAAAAAACACAAAATATGACAACACAACCACAATGGTAAGGCTAATAAAACAAATAATATCCGTTTGTATTCAATCTTTTTAACTTAAATTGCCCAAAACCTTGAAATCTGGTAAAAAATGTTCAACCTCGCCACTTGCTGAATTTTTTCAATTCTGTCTATGTTGGCAGAATTACATTCAGTATGTCTTGAGATTCAACATTAGTATGCAGTTCAGGGTGGTCAGGAAGGGTTTTACTGTTTCCATAGATGTGCCTGTCCCAGTGAGACTATAGCATGACTATTAAGACTTGATAGGGCAACATCATACAGACCTTTCAATATAATTATTTCTAAATGATTTGTTGTGATCATGATGATTTGTGACACCTATGTTGACAGCTCTGTGTTACATTGGTGATTGTATTCTAGTACTACAACTGAATTTATGGAATATCCAGGGCAAACAAAAACAAGTTGTTTCTTACCATCTCCTTGCACCTCCCAGGGCAGAATGACATCCTCAGACAGACTGCATGCTGCTTCTGTGTCAATTGTCTCTGTACAGGTATCAATGGTGTTGTACTGCAGTATCCTCTCTCTGAGTTTCTTCTTGAGCTCTGTCAGTCTTCTCCGTTTGCGTTGCTTTGTGTGGTTGCTGTCTGTAAAGTAAAAAAAAAAATACAAATAAAATAATAATAATAACAACAACAAGAAACAAATATTGTTTCTAGATAACGTAATAATAAATACCATTTTGTCGATAGAGGTCGTGTTACTTTCTTCGGAGGGAATAAATAATGTCATCTATTTCTCTCTGGAGCTCCTCCTGGCTACTCTGGTCTCCATGTTTCTCTTGAAAACAGAAACAACCAGGTATAATCATAAAACATGAAGCCAAATGTTTGGAAATATGGAACCAAATCTATACCACAGTGATCATATAACATACCAGTGGCTGCCCATTGCTTGACCTCCAACACCCACTGCTCCATGTCCTCCAGGGAGATGTTCAGCTCTTGCTTGAGACTCAAGATTGTCCACTTCAGTTTGTGCTCTCTGTGTAGTCTGGTTAGAATGTTTAAAAGGAAAAAGTGAATATGCGTTCCAGTTGGTTGAGAAGGTTGTTTTTTGCTGAATTCCTTTATGCACATTAACTGACCAGACAACAACATGAAACGCTAAATACCTTCTCTTCAAGGTTGGCAAGTACCACCTTAGTGTCCCTTTTCTTTTTTTTAAAAGATCAAGCAGGATTAACATTATTATTATTATACAGAAATTCAGATGAATCAACCTATAGTGCTTAATTAAAAACAAACAGAACAGAGACTCTCTTGGCAGAACAGTGTGCCATGACAGCACCATCATAATGAAATGATTGCAGAATACATTTAATTCAACAACATGTAGCTAAGGATGGTGTTAAATTACTACAACAAGAAACTCAGATATTCTTAATGTACATTTTGAAATGCAGCATGGACGTCTTACTTTGACAAATCTCTTTGAGAGTGTCTTGTGGAGATTCTCCACCTTCCTGTGGTTCCATTGCATAGCCAGCACGGTTATCATATCTGCTCTAGCTGTAAACACAAAAACATGAAAATTCATATCAGCTTTACAATGTGGCACTACTTAAAACAATTAGTTTTCCTCTACCAACCTGATTTGGTCATGTATTTGTTTGTCAGAGCTGCCCTTGAGAGGAAGCTGTTAACCTGTTCCACTTCCTCGCCAACAGTATTTCCAGCACCTTCCTGGCTTCTGCCACCCCACTTCACCTGCTCAGAATCATAAACAATGAGATCTAGATATTTAGTTCAATATTATAATTTCTTGTACTGTAGATCTTTAGTTAACATCAGTGTCAGGAGCAATTTCAGAAAGTTAAAATGTTCTGAGATTGAATTATGCTTTGAACTACAATTTGTCACAACTGTAGTTATTTGAAGCTCTGTTCATTCATTATTTCTATAGTGCGGATATATTTACAAAAAAAACATAATGGGTTTTGGAAGCCTATCCTTGTGACAGTCTGTTTTGTAACAATTTTGTCAACATTTGTAACTATTACAATTATTCCACAGGCTTGAATAGAATATACTACATGATATTCTTATGTGCACTACAATTTCTAAAACATTTGAATCTAGTCACACAAATGTTTAACTTGCATACTGTACCTCACATTTGCCTGTGTGGGCCTTGGCGTGCATTACAGAGATAAAAGGTTTCATCTCTGTAAGTGGTTGGAGCTCAGGCAACTTTGCTGCCATCTTCTCCAAATAAGGCCAGTACCTGTAATGACAAAATCAATTAGCTTTTCCAGTTGCATGATGGCATAATAGTAAAAAGATAAACCAGGTCCTTAAAATTACCAATTACAATCCTTGTAACCAACATCAGCATTTATCCAAATGAATGCTTTTTTGCTTTACATCTACTGGATGTGCAATAATTAAATAGATAACACGTTTCACACAAACACTTCGAATTTTGCAATAGTTATAACTACCTGCAGGCAACATCCATACAAAAGAATGTTGCATTCGCAACTTCAGCCAGCTCCTTCTGCAGGAACATTGGGTAGGCATATATTTCACCACGGTAGTGATTTAGGCCTTGTAGCAAGATGCCATGTCTGCACACAGCTATTTGCAGGCCTTCCTCATCCACCTTGGCCCTGGACTTGTGTGAGGTTTCTCTGCAAGCTGTGAATGTTGCCGGTCCACAAACATCACGACCACTTTTCTGAAATAGACACAATCTGTTACATTTAACCCTGTGCTAAGTAAAATAAATAAAAGGGTTAATGGGTTGAATAGATTCTTACAATCGTCATCTGGCTCCTGATTTTGTCGACAAAGGCAGACACTTTACTGTCCTGGGCAATGAACAGTCCATCAAATAGAGACGGTTCATCTGTCCTGCGAAATTCGAGAAATAAATTGTAAGCAACATTATCATACATACATAAGTTTGATTTGTGTCCTCTATTTAATGTGGGCAATTTACTTTTGCTATCAATTTTTCATAAATGTGGAAAAGGTCTTTGTGAATTTGATCTGTAATTTTGTGTAAAGCCTTTTTGTCACCATTATTTAACATTAGTGAAAAGTTTACTGACTTCTTGTAAAAAGGTAAAAATAAAAGTACATCCTTTATATTGCTGGGCATGGAATAGGGCAGAGGAAGGCAGAAAAAAAGGTTCCTGGACAATTTAATACATTTATCATGAAGCGATTATATCCAAAGCTGGTTCTTAGCTCCAACATATCCAACTAACGTCAACCATTTAACATTTTAAAGTTGAGCTAACTTTACAGGCGTCATATACAATAATGTTTATGAATTGGATTGATATAATTATGTGTAATTACAAACCAATTATTGTTTTCTGATGGTCTACAAACTTTGGAAAATTAAAAAAATTGTAGTTGGGGAAAGTTAAACATTTCAGCAAAGACATTCAGCTTAGTCAATAAAACAACAACTAAAATGAGAATATGATTTCACTGACCCTCTGGACTTCTTGAAGCGATAATGCTTTCTATTGCCATCTACAGCAATAGCCAGCATGTCAGGTGTGCATGCTGGGCATTTAAAGGGCTCCACCAGGCACAGATCTTCTTGTCTGTAATTACAGAAGGCAAACTCCCGAAAGACTCTGTGGAAGGTATCGCTACAGATTCTGCCTGTCTGGAAACAAGAATGGTATTCATTTTGTTAATTAAAAGTTTGGTATTCAAAAATCTTGAAAACCACATTTTATTCTTACCCTTCCTGTGGAGAACGATCGATGTTCAAGCATTTTTATAAATACTTTCTGGGATAATGCTGGGCTGGCCAATTTCATTTGCTCGAATGATGTGAACACATCAAACTTAAAAATAATTTTGCAGCTGTCGGTTGCTGGCCAGTATTTGTATCCAAGCAAGTCACCTATGCTCGGGGACCATTTGGTGGAACAAGTTGGACAGCACACAGAAGGCAGGCAAACGTTGTATGGACCTGAGAAAAAATATAAATGTGCAATTTGACAGGTATCTATGCAACGCAGGACAAAAGTATAATAGTAATCCTGTATTTTTGCTTGACCACATCGTCTTCTGGTGGCAACAAACCATTGATAGTCACCAACACGGTCTGCTTTCCTGGGATGATGGTGAAACCTTGGCTTGGACCACAGAAGCAGATTTGGGATGGTGGAGGAATTGGAAGCAGACACACTGCAGCAAAGACAATTTCAGAGATTCATATGCATGTTAGGACATGTTAGGACATGTAGTCAATACAAATTGAGACATTTTAACAGTTAAAGCAAACTTACAACATGGTGAAAATTATGCCACTGTATATGTAGTGCACATTACCATGGTAAGGGAATATGTAATAAACTATTTGAACCCACCTTGTTCACAGAGTCCATATTGGCCACTTTCATCCACAACCACTAAGTGGGAGGAATAGGTCTGTAAAACCCATCAATCATGGCTTCCCTGTCATGGAAGACATTTTTGCCATGGATAATTGGGTCACATGCCGGACAAAGAAAGGGAGTTCCTGGTGGAACACAGTCCAAGCACCGGACCACAGCATCAGCAGTTTTGCATTGGAGACAGGAACGTTTAGTGACAATCTCTGCAGCCAATTATAAATTAAGGAGCTCTGGCATTGCAGCTCTGAATTTTTGTTCACGTTTCAACTGTCTTTGGGTCCATGTTGTTACAGTGGGTGTTTCTTCTGATGATGCAGGGACAGTGAGAGAACCCAACAGGTGTCTCAGTGTGAGAAGATGTTGATCTAAAATAACAAAATATAAAACAAATCATGGAATTTAGTTTAATTAAAAAAAGATATTCCATACATGGCTTTTCACTTTAAAATGTATCATGAACATAGCTATTACATACTATAAACAATTAGCTACATTTCAAGTTGAAGGATAATTTAAGAATTCATTGTGCATACCAAGACTTGGGACCTGTAGAGGAATCTCATGTGTCTCCTCGACCTCTGGGGACTCCAGAGAGCTGGAAGGTTTAACTGCATAAACAAAGTACGATGATATAGGAAACATTATTGAAGACCAACGACATTAAAACTTAATGAAACACTAGAACTAGATGATATTTTACAGACCAGATCGATTCTTATTCCAATGTTGGGGTAGAATGTTCCCATCCAGGTCCCTCTTCCTCCAGGAAACATTTGACATTTTTTTATGATAATAGGCTACTTCAAATAATTGAATTGATGGATGACCTGAAAAAAATAAATAAAATGAACTCAGATTAGTTGTGCTACCATGTAATTTAATTGTTGCTTCATAAATAAACATTTGTCGAAATAAAACTACAGGCACCAATGTCAATCAAGTCCCAGGTAAATCAGTAATTACAGGGAAATATATTTCTCTTTTTAACTAGATGTGATGGCTTCACAAAACTTGAATTGAATTAGCGAATGTTTAAAGTAGTAAAACTACTATGACCTGATGATATTCAAGTGTTGAACTTACCTTAACTATCATTAATGCAACATGTTAGGTGACATTTAGAAGGAAAAAAAAAGTGTGTGCATTATGAAAAGCGCCATGTAAATGTCTATTATTATTATTATTATTATTAAAATGCCATTTCCTTTCGCATTGTTTAAGGTCATATCATGTCCTGGTCTGGTTAGCTGAATATACATACTTTTGCCATTGTTATGTTTTATGTCACGTGCTACCAAGGGTTTTGTTTTTAGGCAAGATTTTAGCTCCTTTTGTGCGAAGGAGAAAACTCTCCCTCCAACTTCTTGTAGAAGAACCTTCTTATATTGCAAATTGCAATACATATCCGTTAGCGCATCTATAGCCTACCTTAGCTAAGTGCTAACCTTTACAGCCATGCTATTGCTAACAAGCATTCGCATATACTGCCTACTGCCTATACCAGCCCTAAAACGTAAAACTGAAATATCGTGGTTAAACATGATTTGTAGAAAAACGACAGGATTAATTAAAAGCGTAAACAAATCAAATGAAATACAGAAATCAGATTTACCACTTGTACAGCTCTTTAACAATTCTTCTTCGCACTTTTATTGATGCGCAAGGTTAAAGTTCACGGGATTAGGATCCGCCAGGAGTTGCTAAATTTAAAACATGACAATAGGTCGTAATAAACTGCTGCTAGAAATGAATAGACGGGAGCATGTTGTTTCTTACACGACCACTAGAGGTGCTACAATTTAAAACGTGGCTATGGGTCGTAATAAGCTGCTGAACAATCGACCTATTTGGTCGTTTTTTGTAGGAGGACAGGCTGGAATAAACCCATCAACCCATTGTATCAAATAAAGTGCTGTACTGAAACTCTGGCCCTGGGCTCTTGCTGTCATGTTTAAACATCCGTTTGCCTTCTTTTGGTGTTAGAAAAGTGCATGTTAGCCATTGGTAAATTAGCCTAGATTAATAGTTCTTAAAAATCAGTAAAGCCAAGCAGCAGTGGATTCTACAAGTCAAACTTAAAAGTACTATATGAACCATTTGGAATTATTTACTCTTGCTGTAAATTCATAAACACCTTGCGAAAAAGTCATGGAGTATTTCTTCAGTTTCATCAAGACAAACGTTTCAACACAAAGTTCTCAAATGATTCTTTATTTTGTCAACAAATCACATTTAAACCAAAATGTACCATCCAATGGATTCTTTTGGATTTCTCATTAACACAGGAATAATCTTTTAACATAAATATTTTGTGTCGCAACACAAATGTCATTTGACCAAATAAAAAGCAGCAATACCAGAGTTTACTGGTAAACAAAAAAAACTAAAACTATGTACACACTTAGGCTTTAAGTTTTGATCCTTGTTCCTTCACCACTGACTTGATGACTCCGACAGCGACCGTCTGCTTCAGGTCTCGTGCTGCAAAGCGACCTAGGAAGCGAAACAAAAACATGTTTAACACTGCAGAAGGTCAATATAAATGTAGCCTGATTTGGATAGTATACCTAAGGAAGGGTATGAGAAGAAGCTCTCGACACACATGGGCTTGATGGGAATCATTTTGACTGTGGCAGCGTCTCCAGATATCAGTAGCTGCGGATCGTCCTCCACTTTATTTCCCGTCCGCCTGTCAATCTTCTCCTTCAGCTCAGCAAAGCGACAGGTCACATGGGCGGTGTGGCAGTCCAGGACAGGAGAGTAGCCTGCCTTGACCTTCCCTGGATGGTTCAGGATGATCACCTTAAGATGGAAAATATACACATCAGCACAGGGGGGGGGGCAACAATGAATTATAAGTTTCAACTCTACTGAACAAACCTGCGCTTCAAAGCTGCTGACATCTGTGGGCGGATCCTGCTGGGCGTTTCCAGCCACATCCCCTCGCCGCAGGTTCTTTACAGCCACGTTCTTAATGTTGAAGCCGACATTGTGTCCGGGCAGACCTTGCTCCATCCCCTGGTGGTGCATCTCAATGGACTTCACCTCGGCAGTGATTTTGGCTGGCGAGAACATCAGGGTCATGCCTGGTTTGAGGACGCCAGTTTCAATCTTACCTACTGGCACGGTCCCGACTCCTGAGAAGATGAAAAAAAAGTGCATTTATAAGTTTAAACTAGTGGATTAAGGCTTTATCAGCTGACAAACATTTCTGTTCTTCCCCCACTCCAATTGCTCTGCTGCACACCTGTAACCCATGTTCTTAATTGGAGCCAATTGATTTCAGGCTCAGGGAGTAGACAGGGCAACTCAAAAAATGACTAAAATGAACTGAGCACAACTCCTAACCTCCAATTTTGTAGACATCCTGCAGAGGTAACCGAAGGGGCTTGTTGATGGTGCGAACTGGTGGTTGAATGGAGTCCAGGACTTCAAGTAGAGTTCTCCCAATTGCATTTCCTCCCTTTCTTCTGGATTTCCATCCTTGGAACCAGGGCATCTGCAGAGAGGAACTTGTGTTAATGTGTTGCATGTTCCTAGATTTTCACAAGTAAATAGACCATAATTACCTTCTGAGTTGCAGTGATCATGTTCTCCCCAGTCCAGCCAGAAATTGGCACGAAAGGCACAGTTCCGGTTTCGTAGCCGATCTTCTTGAGGAAGCCGTTCACACCTCGCACCACTTCTTCAAAGCGCTTCTGGCTGAAAGGGGGTTCAGTCAGATCCATCTTGTTCACACACACTATGATCTGCTTCACACCCAGAGTGTAAGCCAGCAAGGCGTGCTCTCTGGTCTGACCACTTCTTGACACACCAGCCTCGTATTCTCCTTGAGCTGCAGAGACCACCAGGAGGGCAACATCGGCCTGAAAGGACATTTATGATATTGGTTAGAAGGCCCATGAAATTACACTTACATAAAGTAAAGAGCCTCTGTGCTACTAACCTGTGAAGTCCCGGTTATCATGTTTTTAATGAAGTCTCGGTGGCCAGGTGCATCAATTATAGTCATGCTGTATCTTTGAGTGTTAAATTTCATCAGAGAGATATCAATGGTCATTCCTCTCTCCCGCTCAGCTTTAAGCTTGTCCAACACCCAGGCAAATTTGAAGGAGCTCTTCCCCATCTGTAAATAAAATACATAACTGGTCTTAGTAGGTTTTAAGACATTTCAAGAGCTCCAATCATTTCATTTATGTTTCTCACCTCTGCTGCAGCTTTCTCGAACTTCTCCAATCTTCTCTGGTCGACGCCACCACATTTGTAAACGAGGTGACCGGTGGTAGTTGACTTGCCGCTGTCAACATGGCCGATAATCACCACGTTAACATGAGTCTTCTCTTTCACCATGCTTGAAGTTGGCTTTTCGAAACGAACAAATTAACGGTAGGTTTCTGAGCTGAAACGTTCACGCTTCCGAATTCTTCTATCAAATGTGTGTGAACAGCCACTGCGGAGCTGCGTTTTAAGCTGCTGCACCTGTCGACACATGATTGAAGACAGGTGTGCTTCATTACGCTTAATTAGGCTGGTGCATGTTTGGTAAAGGAGGAAATGGCAAAACAGAGCTTCAGGGAGAAGAGAAGAAAATCCGCCAATAAACACTAAAGAAGAAGAAGAAGAAGAGAAGAAAATGCTGAAAAGCTATTTTGCTCACTTATTTTTGGGGGGAAGCAGGAGTGAGAATTAAAGTATTACATTATGTGTTATTAATGTGCAACAAATGGCAGTTGCAGTCACCTTATGATATCATGTTACAGCCAGGTTTGTGATGCAGGGATGGCTTTGAGATGCAGGGATGGCTTTGAAGAGCCTTACAATAAAGAAAAAACTACTAAAAGGCAATAAGCTTTTTAAAATAAAGTTCCTTAAGCTCTTAATAATGTTAAGATCAATACTTATAGGCAAATGCACTCTTACTTAAGTTAAGTGCAAAGGTAATAGCATCAACATATACTTTAAGTACCAAAAAGTAAAACGTATGAGTCATGGCACATTTCAGAATAATATGTATATTGTTGCAGAACTTAAATTAACACAAAATAATGCTGGTGGTACCTTAATTTCATTATCTTATGTAGGCTACTTGGTTGCCTGGCCTATATTCATTTATATAGCCTATAGCCTACAGTCTATGATTCATACATATGTGACTGATGTTAATGTATAGGAACCCGGTCGGAAAAAATGGCACATTAGCGCCTCCTAGAGATTGTTTAAGATGTAAATTAGCTTCTTGCTCAAAGAAACTTCGGTAAAGTCAATTTTACATAACTGTGTCTCGCGGTCAAAAGCCCTAATTAACGCCACGGTGAGACACAAATGATAGTGTGTAGGTAAATTGTAATCCGGTTGAAACCACCGTTAAAACACTGTAGCGGGTCATCTCTGACCGGGCGGGTCTATCTTCAGTCAGGCAGGGAAGGTGTATAAATTCCCCCCTCCGCGCTCAGAGGTGGAACAAACCGAACTCCCCTCTCGTTTGACGGGCACAATGACGCTCGATAACTAACCCGGAAACAGCAACAGCAAATCGCTTTTCTTCTTCTTTCAGTCCGTACCGCTGGCTTTCTAGCGTGGTATCCAGACATCGACTCCAGTGTTTTCTCTACGAGCATCAAGGTAAATAACAGAGAAAATTACTTTATCTCCTCTTTTTCTGTCATCTCAACTAACCACCTATACTATCCACCGGTTGCCATTCAGTCAGGCTTGTTTTGAGTGTTACATTTAGTTCCTCGGCTCGGAGGCAAATTTAGTGATGGATAATAAACGTGTCCGGCGAAAATGTAACCCCCCACCCCTACCTCTTATTGCTAAATTACTGTAAAAAATAAATAATGGAAACTATTTGTGTTGTGTTTTTAAGTTACACCCTCGGTGCCCCGTTAACTTCCCCTTTTCAGGGCAGCGGTCTCAAGGTAGACGTTAGGTTAGGCTACACTGCTAGCTAGATGTTTCCTTTATTTGGCCAGGGGCATTGCATGTTACATGCGTGACCCATATAGCCTATTACTAAAGCCAGGTAATCAGCTGTGTTGGACTTCGTGAACACTACAGAGACAGGTAATGTATCCAGTTTAAAACTAACCGCATGACTCGGATTAAGACTGTACATTTACAGACAGTAAATAATAAATATTCATCATTACAGCTGCATTAAAGGAAATGGTCACACTGACAGCTGGTTAGAGCTGGTTTGTCTTAGATGATTGTTCTTCAAATCAATGCATGATTTAAAATAAACACTCCTAAATTCAACATCTCAAATCCTCAGTAAGGACAGAAGTAGCCTACTATCAGCTGAATTAAGTCCTTTTTTTAGGCATTGAATTGAAGCATTTATGCTCAATATAGGTTTTAAAATAAATTCAAATTGTGTTGCACAAAAAGTTTAATATTTCACTCTAAATTGTAGTATAGGAAATTCAATATAAAAAGTTCTACTTTAGTGCAGTACTCAAATATTTGTACTTTAATATAATTCCACCACAGGCTCATAATATCTCACTGTCTAGTAATAAACATGTTACTGCAATTTCAATTAAAAGTTGCTGACTATGGTTGGTTGTTTTCCTATTTGCATCTTTTGTCTGCACGACTCAACTCTAGCACGGAAGTAAATGTCGTTTCCTTTCCGCCCTCTCTCTGCAAAGCTTCTGAAAGTGGAAGTGAAACGTCCCAGAAAACCAGAATGAATGATTTCTTAGCCAAGTGCAACTCTAA